TATAATTATTAATTAATTAATTTAAGTCTTAAAAAAAGTGGATGATTTAATATGCACATCTAATACAGTATGTCTCTGGTGATCTATCTTTTGAATCTGAATGGATTTTACATCCATGGTCACCCATACAGCTTCTCCAAGACTTACTAGACTATATTAAGAATTTTAATTGCAAATTCTTTGCCTGTCAAAAACACACCTGAGGTGTGCAAGGTTCCCATTAGGCATGGCAAATGTTTTCTTTTTTTCTTCTTCTTCTTTCCATTTAGGCAGCCAGGTGTTTGCCAAGACTTAAAATGTAAATGTGGCTGGCTGCAATTTGTCTTACTTCTATAATTGTAGCACTGATTTGACAAGTGTTGAACAGGCAAGAAAGAATATTAAATATAAAATGTTTTGTTCTGCTATTCACACGTTTAAAAAGAAGATGCCTGATATGTTCAACATGATCTTTCTTTTTGCCAGAAAAATATTCTGTGTGAGAAAAAAAAATTGTACTATCAGTCTAATGTTATCAACTAACCTAAAGACAAAATACAACAACCAAAAAAGTGAAAAATCTATGTAAGATGCAGCCCTTTGATAAAGCAGTGTATAAAAATAGACGTATTCAGGCTGAAAAATCAGAAGAAGGGGTTGCATCAAAGGTTTGTTGCTCTTTTGTTTAGAACTTCTATTTTATTTCATAGATTTCTTTAGAAGAAAGTCTTCTATGGTTTGAACAAGGACAACACGTAGACAAAAATCAATTCAAACTGAATGATCATCTTCAGATGAATATTTTTCATTTGCTTTAATAGTTTTTATTTATTTTGTCTGAATCAGAGCTAAATCTTTATTCCTCGTTCCTTCAGTCATGGTAACCTGACCAGTTCTTCTCTGCATGCGTGCAATAAACACAGAGCTGAAAACTTTATGGCTGCTTCCCTTAGACATTAAATTTCACAATACTGTCATCAATTTTCTGAAGTGATGCTCGTGCTCCATTTCATCAGCATGAAACCACATTATGGTCATTTAGTAAACGAGGACAAATGCAATTTCACAGTTTAGTTCAGAAAAGTGCTTCAAATACTTGGCAAATACTACGGCAGATTGGGTATACTCAATCTTTCTCAGGACTTTTCAAATAAGATCTAGTGATCAAGTATGATTTAATTTCCAAAATAATGGTTAATAATAATAATAATAACTGCATTCTCATGCCAGTTTAACAGATGTAATATAATTAACACTAAGAGTGACAATGCTGTTATAAATTTAGTGTATGAGGTTGACTGGTGGACAAAGAGGGTAAAAAAAAAGTATGATAAGGAAAAGAAATGTAATTAATGCATTTTTTACTTAAAATACCTGACAACTTTGCTTCAGTGAGGTTTAGGTAGATACCATTAATACTAGAAGGTATACTCGTATTGGATCATTTGCCTGAGACTGCGTTTCAACTTATCAGATTTTTCATGGATCTTACATAAACTGGTGAATCAGTTATTGTTTGTTTTGTAGTTTAATAGCAGGCCAAGTAGATACTAAAGACAGGAAGTGTTAAAGTTTCTCTACACAGTTCGTGTGACATTGTGAGAGAAGGTGCAGCAGTATGTGTGTTAGTAGCAAATGGTCACAGTGCAGAATTTTGGAACGGATACACCGTAGTACACGGCAAATGCATTTGTCACAGTTGATCATTGCTCCAATCTAGAAGAAGGCACACGTTATTTAACAACTTTTTACTAACAGCCACAACAGAAAAGAAGCAGAGGAAGATACCATTTAAACACTACATCAGACAAAGCAAGTTGGTTCAGAATAATGTGCAGGAGAGTAAAGACATGCCAGTTTGTTTCAAATCAGCTGTACGAAAAAAAATTCTTGGTCATCCTCCTCAGCAGCAGTGGAGGGAGGCAAAAAATACATGTATGGCAAGCAGCTACATCATAACTGTCCTTGAAAGCTTTACATTTATTCAATATTCCTCATGTCAAGAAACATTTTTGTCACACTAGCTATCAGGTAGCTGAGAAGCCAGAAGTGAGTGTTTCACATTTTATTCATTTTGTATTTTCACATTGGGAGAAGTTATTTATCAATAACTAACTGAAGCAAACTACTTGGTTTTTTTTTTTTGTTTTGTTTCTGATTTCGTTTCTGTTTTCTGAAATCAAATGAAAGATACATTTCTGAAGATTATCAGACTTGGCCTATAGGCCACTGTTTACAGTTTAAGCTGGATAGAAAAAGACAGAAAGATGTAACTTTATTATTAATTTATATTACCAATTTACACATTCCACCTCAACAGTAATTGTGACCACCAAGGTATTACTCGTGGCCATAAACAGTAAGCAATCATGTAATTGTGTGTGAGCGTGCACATGCATGTTTTAGCAAAATGCCTAAGAACCACTGGATGAATTTTAATTAAACTATCTGAAAGTACAATCTGAAATCTTTAGATGTGCATCTACAACTGTTGAACCTTTGGCGTAGCACAGACAGGAGATATGCATTCAGTTAAGGAATGCTATTTCCATTTTAGTCAGCAAGTTTGAGGCATTTTCTAATTGGCATGAATTTAGAGAACAAATCAGTTGACAAAGTAATTAAGCTGGTGACAAACTATTAATATGATGGGTAGTAGATTGGACATTTCACAGCTCTGGACACTTTGTAAGTTCTGGAAGCTTTTGGATTTTACCATATTGTTGTGAAAATGTTTCCATTGCCTTTGACTTTTTTCCCCCATTGCACTGGCTTGTTCAGTTACGTCTGGGTCAAAGCCCAGAAATAGTGACAAGCGAAACGGGCTCAGGGCACCAAACTCAGGATTTCTTTAGTTTTGTCTTTAAAAAAAGATCAAGTAAAATTTTAGTAAAACCAAAAATTTTTGGGTGGAAGAATCACAATTAGTAGATATGTAACAACATATAAATGTGTGTTTACCTCTCTGACATTAGGCAGCTCCAGGATATCAGAGAAAACGTAGAGGCCTGGGGTCTCCAGCAGAGAGCTGACAGCCTGGGCCAGTGCTGAGCCTGACAGAGACAGAAGCTGTTCTACCTCCATCTAAAGACAAGGTGCATAGGTAACAAAATCACAGATATATTAGGCAAGTAGCAGCACGAGTATGACAAAGGATAAAAAATAATGTCTCTTATGCCTTAAGCCAAAACGCTGTTCCCCACATGATGTAAATTTCATCCTCTCTACCAGTTTGCAAAGGTCCTTCCAGTCTTTCTAGAGTCGACCCAGTAGACTGTGACAGATAATATACCCCATCTACAAACGTGCCATAAGACACCTACAACTAAAAAGTACGGTATTTGAAGAGACAGGCTAAATAAGAAAATGAGTTTGTAGAATTGGTTTTCAGAGGAATTGATCAGCACAAACTCATAAAATTTATCATACAATGGCTTCTAGAATACCCAAAAGAAGTGAAATTCCAGTAAAAAAGGAGTCCTTTGTCTTTGAAATATAAAACTAAAAATCAGCTTGCCATCTCATTACTGTGGAACTATAAACTGACAGATTTAATTTTGGGCAAATGTTTAGGTAAAGGTTCCCCAAAAATAGTAGGAGCCCAACTGTGTTCACTTACCCAAAGCTATTAAATCTCAAACTACTGGAAGAGCCACTCAGATAGCAGCACTGCGTAGCACCACTGTGGGCAACAAGTGCAATAAATGAGAAGCAGAGCATGTTTATTCATCAAATCACTCTCTGCAAAGAAAAGTAAAGCAAATGAACTTAGGGCTGAAGGTAAAATTAGATTCATTACCATCCATCTATGCATCCATCCAACCATCACTTATGCGTGGTCAGATTGCGGAGGCAATGGGTCCAGGAAGGAACCCCAGACATCCCTCTCCCCTGCGACCATCTCCAGCTCCTCCTGGGAGATGCCAATGTGTTCCCATGCCAGAGAATATAAATAATCCCTCCAGTGAGTTCTGGGTTTGCACCAAGGTCTTCTCGCAGTGAGATATGCACATAAAACCTCCAAGGGAGGTGTTTAGTTGATATTCTAATAAAATGCCTGAACAACGTCCGCTGAGTTTATTCAATATGAAAGATCAGCAGATCTACTCCAAGCTCCCTGTGGATGACAGAGCTACTCACCTATCTCTAAGGCTATGGCCGACCATCCTACAAGGAAGCTCAGTTCAGCCCCTTGTATCTAGGATTTTGTTCGTTCTGTCATGAGCTACACCTCATAACCATAGGTGAGTGTTGGAACATAGATGGACTAGTAAATTGATGGACTCAACTTTTCCTCCATCAAGACTACTGAAGCAACCCTCATATTATTGAGGACAATGCCCCCAATTTGTCAGTTCATCTCCTGCTCCATCCTATTATTGCCAGCAGAACTAAATTATCTGCAAAAAGCAAAGATGAGACCCTAAGGGCCCAAACCAGACACCCTCCTCTCCACAACTGCACTTTAAAATCCTAACAATGAACACCACAAACAGGATCAAAGGCAAGGACAGCCCTGGCTAAGTCCAACCTGCACCAAGAATGAGCTCAACTTTGTGTCAAGAATGCAGACACAGCATCAGCTACCAGATCGTTTTTACCTTTTTTTGGATTGATCATGACCTGGGTGACTGAGAGTCTTCACCAGCACTTACGGAACATGGCCATAAGCCTTCTCCAGATTCACAAAACACATGTGGACTGGAGAATCAAACTCCCATAACCACCTTAGCAACACCTCAAAGGTAAAGATCTGGTCCATTGTTCTAAAACCAAAAGCTACAATGTATGCTCCCCCAAATCCAAGGTTCAACAATCGGTCGGAGCCACTTCTCTAACACCCTGGAGTAAACATTTTCAGGAAGGCTGAGAACTGTGAACCCTTGAATAAAAAATTGATTATTTCAGTAGTGAAATGATGCCGCCTCAAGCAAATGTCTACAAATTAGAAATCGCATCCCAGCAAACAAGCAAAATATTAAAAAGGATCATTGTTTGATGTGGCAAAGATTGACGCGTTTCAGTTTTTTACGTAATGCAAAACTAATTCATCATAAAAAAACAACAGTTGTATGTGGGGTTAAGGCCACTTTTTACCATTTTAAAGGTGTCTTAACTGACAAAGACGGTAAGAAAGTGCTCTACAGACTTGGGATAATTTAAGATCTTAATTCTCAACAAATTCTGGGACACAAAGAAAGTTAAGTATTGCAGGCAAGTGAGCAGGCATTGTGATTTCATCAGGCTGGCTTCATTACCTGAGGCTACTTTCAGAAATTAATAGAACAGAGTCTGAAAGCCCACTGGAGCAAAAACTTGTCTTCTTTGTTTTTCATTCATCTCCAGCCAGTGTTGATAGCACAGATATCATGCATCATCATAAACCTGATGCTTTTTGATGCACACTTGCACATCTTCCACATGTCCCCCTGGATCACCATCAAAGAGGGCCAAAGAGCATATTCCCAGACAAGCCGAACAGATGATCAAGCATGTGTTGCAGGTAAGCAAAATTAACCTACTGTGCTTCAGAAACGGCGTCTCTCAAAATCCCCAGTATTTTTCAAAGGCAAGCTTTAAACCTGAGGCTTGACGAGATCAATCTTTTTATTTTTACTCCTTTGTTCAAAGTAAAGCTGAATGTAAATAATTTATAAAACAAGAACTTTGCCAAACTACTCAACAGAAAAGGACAGATGCTAAAGATTAGAATCACATTGTGCATACATTTCAAAGATTATCCAGAAAACAAACTATTAATTGAAATTTATTGGCTTTTAAAACTGAAAACAGATACATAGTTGTAGTAATAAACTGCTTTATTAATTAGTTAATATATTCAAATAATATCATTCAATATCATCAAGTTATATTATATATACATATATCAAAGAAATAAAAATCTGAATGTCAGGATAATAAAATCTCTTTTTCCAATACATTCAACCTGTATCTGGTAAAAGGTTTACAAACTGCTCTTAAATTTAGAAAGACAAAATGATTTTTTTTCCCTTTTATCTCTAATTGTTCTTGTTAACATTTGTTTGAGGACATCATGCAAACATGTTTTTCTTAAAACAAATTTACGGTAATTCCTTGGGAGAATTTAAATTGACCACAGACATGAGTGCACTTGATTATTTGATTAATGTCAGTCAAACAGCAGAATAAAAATGCCAACCTATAAGCACATTCTGATTTTTTTTTTAATCTAAAAGTGGAAGAGCTTGCTACAGATGGAGTATGTAGTTTGCACAAAAGCTCACCTTCCACCAGCTACTGCTCCTTTCAGCCCTGTCACCTAAATCTCTTAAATCCCAAGAGCTCAGCTTCTATGTACTCTGGCTCAGAGCAGAGATGGCCATGAGAGATAAATACCTTATTGATACAGCCTAATTTAGCTACAAACTCAAATATCTAACATGGGGAAATACATTTTTAATTGCATATTTCAGGGTTATGATTACTAACAACATATAAAATTACAATTAGTGGCACCTTTAGTAAATATTACACAAGATCTCCTAAAACAACTTGCGTACTAAGCAGAAGAGCTGCGATCAGAAGAAGCAAAACGTTGACAAAAAGCTCTTTACAGGTTTTATTTTGTGACAGTCTTGCACTTATAATGGTCTGAGAGAAATATATAGTGCATTTTCAATGCATTTAAATAAAGGTTAATAAAATAAGTATTTGCCAGAGTCTTGATCTAGTAACTGGCGTTTTCCACAGTTTCAAACTGGAGATACACTGAAAATTGGTCATCCACTATGTCTGTAAGTCAGGGGTGCCCAAACTTTTTACCCTGAGAGGGCCAAATTTAAAATCTATCAGAGGACTCGGGCCAAATGCAATAATATAATACATGAAATGCAAATACATCTTTAAGTAAAGTCCATTTATTTATTATACAGTTATTTAACCTTCCATTCGCTATAGAGAACATTACAGAACACAAAATATAACAAATAAAAGTCATTTTTAAGAAATTAAAACAAATATTGAAATTTTGGCATTTCAGTATAATTATATCTAGTGCAAAATGTCAAAAAATGCATGTCCAACAGCAACCAACTTAACAGCAACAATAATATGAACCTAAATAAACAGTCCCATATATATGGTAGTCAATGGGCCAACTTTTCCATCTAACATTAAAGTCAATGGGTTGAATGACTGAGTGAAAACACATTGATTCTTGAAAGGAAATTTTATTATAGTAATGAGAACTGCTTGATGGGCCAACTCAAATGGACTGGCGGGCCAACTTTGGGCACCTCTGCTGTAAGTACTTATGCACAATTTATGCATAAAATCAGCCCAGATTAACTGCCAAAAAACTTGTGGGACACGTTTTATATAAGGGATGGTGGATATAATCCAAGAGGAACATTAAATTTCAAAATCTGCAGCATCCAAACAACAATGAAAAAAATTTGCATCGCTTCGACTGGAGTCAAAATATGGAAGAGACTGAAAGTTAAATCAAAACCATGTTCAAACATCAATCACTTAAAAAAATACAAAGTTATAATTTTCACAAGGTATAAGGAAGAACAGGATTAACACCAATATGAAGTAAGAATAAAATGCAATTGTATAATTCTGGGTACAATTTAGAACTTGGAATAACCTATACATTATACAATGTATTACATTATGATAAATTATTTTTATTAATATTAATAATTATCAATTATTTTTGTCAGCACGTGTTACTGTATGCAAGTATTGGAATGTGTGACAACACCAAGCTATTAATAATACATTACAGCTAAATGTTTTGTGTGAGAAAGAATATATTAACTATTGATGAGGGGCTGAATTAAATAACTTTATACTTATTTCTGTTCCCTTTTGAACAGAAAAAACACTGGCATGTTATTTATTTAAGCATTTGTTTTTTATGTTTTTACTTTCTTTTATTTATAGTGTATTTTTCTATTTTTTTATTGGTCCATTTGTGTATTTATTGTTAATTTAGTTTCTGTTGCAAGGCTGTTTTTAACCTGTTTAAAATAAAATGAATATACTCAATAACCAAGTAGGAAAATGAAGAAATAGCCATTGCTACAACCAGCCTACTGTAGCCCACAACTTATTTTGTTTAGGTGAGAATGCTCCTCTAAATAATGTTTTTAAGTGGATGTGTTCTTCTAAGGGTTGTTAAGTCTATGCTTATTTAAGTTAATCAATTCTTGTTATATATTGACCAAAAAACAAATAAAATAAGTAAGAAAACAGTGTGATGTATCAATCATGGGTGTACTAAAGAGATCAGCATGTCGTAGCTACCCCTATTTCAAACTACATATTGTTGTTAAGATCATGTCTATGCTTGACTTTCAATAGATCTGCCAGAATTTTTTTACCCTTTATTTATACAGGTAGTCTCATTGAGTCACAAGAACTAATTTTCAAGAGACCTGTTTGGGAGCAAATGGTGAGAGTTAAGGGCCTTGCTCAAGGGCCCAGAGTGGGGCAAATGAGGATGGAGGCAGGTGTTTCACCTTTTCCACCCACATTTTGATGTTGTCAGACTGGGGAGTTGAACCTGCGACTTTCCGATCACAGGCCCATCTTCTCTAACCTCTGCCCACCACTCCCCTAATAAAAATTTTTTTGTTGACATGTTTAAAATAGTCATGTAATTTATTTTACAGTTCAGCATTGTAAGAATGTACTCTTCATTTTTCACATTTGTTGATTGAAATTACATAAACATTTATTTCATTGTTTAAGTAACTATTACCCACATTTAGTACCAATTATCAATAATTGATTGTTTATTGTTAATATATTGTACAGTACTTTGGTCAACTAAGATAAGAAATGTGTAATTTGAAGCAGCTACAATTTGAAACAATGAAGCCTAGTTTTTCAACTTCTTTCCTGAGTTTATGATCAATAAGTCCTCCTAGGCAGGCTCACACACACCGTGTACTTCCGTTAGCTGCTATGCTAAATCACCGGCATATTGATTTTAAAGCTAGTTATTTTGTCTATTAAACACACAGCACTATTAGCAGACGGAGAATAGTACTGAACCTAGTAACATATATAGTGTTTAGGATTTTTGATCGTTTTCTACCGGCATTTCTTGTTCATGTTTTCAATAGTCTTCAAGCTGAACGTGTCATGCTAGCTTGGTTGCTAATAGCTTTCACTTAACCGTTGACTTTAGGCCTCGCTAAAATTTAATCCTTTCTGACGATTAAATCATGCAGAAACACTGCACCAATAGCCTGAGAGTCAAACGCAAAGGTACATTCTTAATCAAAAGTTAAAAAACCCAAATATGCATGCCTAAAGTGTACCTTATAATGTTGGTTTCTAGCCGTTAGCCTCTCACTGGGTCCTTGGGTTCCGCTGTCAGAGCACGCACAACAACAAGTCAACGTAATTTCTGATTGGACGATGAACCGAAGTGGGCGGGAAGATAGTACTGTCGATCAGCTTCTTGAATCAACAGATTAGAGAAAACAGCGCCATCTAGTGGAATGATGGTCTAAAGCGCAAGTATCTGTGCAGACCAATGATTCATGTGTGAATAGTGTTCCTAAATTTAAAATTTTCATTCAACCTTTATTTAGACAAGTAAATCCCATTGAGCCTCTAGGACTCATTTACAAGAGAGACCTGATTTCAACAAAGAATGATGACAACAATGGACAACAGCGACAACAATAGACAGTTATAAAAAAGGCATACTTTTTTTTTTTTTTTTTTTACAAATAAGATGGCAAAAAGAGTAACAAAAACAGCAACATCAGAAACAGAAACAGTCTATCGCCCCTGTAACTGCAGGGTTCTACAGGCAGTCACTAAAAGATTCAATAAAGATATTTTTATTTGTTAAAATTTTGTTCATCTTCACTACATCCTCAAATTTAACTACAAATCATGCAGTCTTGTTTTTCTGAGTGCTGTAACACTTAATCAGTTCTTCTCCATTTTCAATATGGCTGGCTTTGACAAACAAACAAACAAACAAACAAATAAATAAATAAATAAATAAATAAATAAATAAATAAATAAAAAAGCCTAAACTGAAAATTACCCAAATTAATTAAAGGAAAAGGCAGAATCACTTTTAAATGAAATCTCTCAACTCATATACTAACAAAAATCATTCAGATAAATGTGCTGTCTTCATTCAAAGCCAATGCAAGAAATAATTTTGTTTCATTTTATTATATTTTATTTAGTGTATTAGTTTTATAAATTACAAGTAGTCTCCTTACAACTAACTGTAAAAAAACAACCCGCAAAGCAATTTACTTATATCAAATAGCAGCAAATCCTAGTAAAATTACAAAATTCATTCTAAAAAGAAAATGTGTTCTAAAGCATAAACTGCAAAACTCTGGTAAAAGTAAATAGAAAAAGCATTTCAATGTCATGTTTAAATTTCTTCTCAAACATTACCCTGTATTGTTTTTCTTCTCACAGCCTCCCACAGTTATGTGTTTTAAAGTTTTAGCTGAATTTCATCCATCCTGCAGTTTTGTTTAATGGCATACAATCACTGTCTAAAGTGGCATATATTGTTTCCACGTGTCCCTCTGGACTTGGCTTCACTGATTGCAATGTCTCAGACAGAGGCAAAGAACTGTTTGACAGATAAGATAAATCATATTAACAGCTGTGAATACCTTCGACAAACGTGGAAAGAACAAATTCAATGATCATGAAACCAAATCTGAGGGTTTTGACGCATAGATCAGCATCAACTTGCGAATTATGTTTTCTTTGTGCTTGTTACTTTCATTTGGATCTGCTGTGATCTATCTGGGTGTTTGTTCAATATCCAAGTAGAAAGTCTAAGCACAGAAGCAATCTTAGTAACAAAAAACAAATGCATGAATGATTTTATGCATGAGGTATTACTTGTGTTGTATTGTTCATCCATCTTCAGTCTCCTTCATTCCCATTATCAGGGAGGCCAATCCAGAAGTGGAAATCAAATCCAACCAATCCTCCTTGCTTCCTATTTCTGAAGCATCCCAGAAATAAGACACAAGCACCCAGGCACACGTTCAGTTTGAACCTTTAACACCAAAACAAACAAAAAAAAAACCAAGCACATTCTTATTATTTTCTTTTGGTACCAAGATGAATCCTCTGTTGCTATAGTTACAGTTTCCTCAGTAAACCGACTGCACATCTGTAGCACTGTAAATACCACATGTATTATTTTAAACCTGTTAGCAGAACATAATGTGTGGTGTTGTGACGTGGAAAAAATGCCTTTCTTTGCCTTTTCTTGATATAAGAAAAAACTGCCACACAGATTTTCCTCACATAGCAAATAATATATGAACACTTATTTTAGTGACATTATTGGACAAATACATTTGACCACATAAAACATAAGTAATGTAAGTATTTGGTAAAAGTCTCATGTACAAGAACTTGTCTGAAAATGAGGGGAAAAAGGCAGCAACAAGTCAAAGAAAAGCTTTTGACAGACCTTCCGAAGGCCAGAGTTGGATGAAGATCAATTTTTAAAAAAATATTTAAAAAAAGTTTGGATGAAACATATAAAAATTGAGGAGTTACAAAGTGCACATCCTTTTTCAGTAACAAGTTCAGTAAACATATTCAGTACTAAGATGACTACAGTCGTCGGGTTTATCAGAGATAGACAAGAAGCTGAGTGAACTGGTGGACCACTTTGTGGCATGGTGTGGAAACACTCATCTCATCTTGAATGTGAATAAAACAAAGGAGATGATTGTAGATTTCAGGAGAAAGGAACAGTGGAGGTGGTGGAGAAGTATAAATACCTTGGGGTTCACATGGACAACAAACTGGACTGGAAATGCAACAGTGAATCCATCTACAAGAAGGGACAGAGCAGACTGTACTTCTTGAGGACGCTGAAGTCCGTCAGTGTTTGCAGCAAGATGCTGCATATCTTCTGTAAGTCTGCTGTAGAGAGCGCTATATCTTCTGCTATCATCTGTTGGGGTAGCAGAACCAGAGCAAGTGACTTAAAAAAGATCAACAAGCTCATAAAGAAGGTTGACTCAGTTCTGGGGACTCCTCTAGAACCTTTGGAGATGATTGTGCAAAAAAGGATTCTTCATAAAATGAACAACATTATAGACAACCCTCAGCATCCTCTTCATCAGACTGTCATACAACAACAGAGTCAACAATGTCCATGCTCAATAATCCAGGTATACAATCCAACAATTTTCAGTCAGGTCATCTGGACAGTTTCTTTTTTTGCTGAAACGTTTCACCTTCCATCCGGAAGGCTTCATCAGAGAGTGTCTTCAGTCAGACACTTCTTCAGATCTGCTGTAGGACAGACCGCTACAAGAGATCCTTCCTTCCCACAGCCATCAGCATCTAGAACAACTCTTTAATGAAACCAGGATGATGAGTTACAACATTTAATTTCCCTCTTGGATTAATAAAGTATTTTTGAATTGAACTGAAACTTAAAGTCAAAAGGGTTAAATAAAACCTCAACTAAACAATTCATACCATTTCAATGACTAAATTAAAGACATGTTTAGTTTGTTACACATTAGTCTGTTATGTAATGTTACACATTAGGAAAGATATTTATCTATTAAAACATCTTCAGGGTGTTTAGCGAGCATTTGCTTAAAAAAAGATCTTTAAAGCTTTACATCAATGTACACGTTGTTTGTATGTTCATCATCATGTCAGTTATTTCATTTTTTAATAGGAAATGTATTACACTTGTGTTCACACTATGCACACACAACTGTCTTGTTTGTTTTTACAGCTGTAGTTTATGCAAGTTAGTTTTTCTGACAAGACATTTCATCACTCAATTTATACACAGAATGAATACTACATGTAAGCTACATGTAAAAAGGTATTTAAACATTTAGAAAGCTCAATTTTCACTGATGTTTTTACAACGTGTTGCACTCAGTAATAGACTGCATGTACACTACATTTTGTTCTTGATTTTTCTGCATGTAACTTTGAGATAAATTACAACTGTTAGCTAAAAATAAATAATAAATAATTTACAGAAGTGTATTGACTCCAATAGTTAATGCTAAAGTTTCAAGCAATGACATTGTATAATCTGCAGAGCCCTTAGAATGTATTGAGGATGACTCTCAGGCACTACCACACCAATTGTTAGCTCAATATTTGTCAAATTGACTGAGTTAGACTCAGATTTTGAGTAACAGAAAGATAAAACAACTTCTGGCTTTAATTTCATTTAAACTGGTGTAGAGTCTCTTGTGATTTACTGTGGTTAGTAAATTCATTTGAGTTAAATTGGAATTTAAACAAAGGTCTGACATTTTCAAAACTAATGACGTCATTTTGGGGCGGCTGTGGCTGAGTGGTTAGAGCAGGCGTCCTCCAATGCAAGTGTCAGGGTTCGATTCCACCAGCACTCACATGCTGAAGTGTCCCTGGGCAAGACACTGAACCCCTCATTGCCTCTGATGTGTGTCCCATTGGTGTACGAAACCAATGGGACACACACACCCATGGTGTGATAAAACACTGATTATTCTTTGTATAGATAGAGGGCTGTATGAATGGGTAAATGAGGGCACAGATTGTAATGGAAAGTGCTTTGAGTATCTCGATAAGACAAACAGGTGCTGTATAAATACAGTCCGTTTACCATTTTCACATCCATTTAAACCACAGAATCATGTCAAACCACAGATGCAGGAGCTATTATGATGTTAAATGTGTCTAATGCAATGTAAAAACAATACATGTACTCTGAATATTGTTTTTTTAATTTTTTTAAGAAATGATGAATGCTGCCACACACTATCTGTCATAAGACAATCTTAGTTTAAAACATGAAGATGGCAGGCAGTATATTGTGTCAAGGAATGCCAGACTTTTAATATATATTTTAAAAATCACAAAACTTTTTTTTCTCTAATGGTTTTAACAATATGTGAGTGGCCCAGCTGCCATTAAGTCATTTTTTTACCTTCTCTTGTAATAACATAATTTGCAGATATGAAAATTTGCACTCAATAGCTTTTATGAGGGCAATTGAAACAACTGTTCGTCGTGAATGTGTGCCTGGTTGAACTAGATCAAGAACATACAACTCGCAATTGTGTTTGCTTTCAATGAGAGTGTCCTCATACCCCATTATCAGGCTGAGCTGCAAGAGACTGCAGCCCCGCAGGAGAAATATTTCACAATTATGGACTTTTGTGTTTTTTTCTACTACATGACCCTCACTGGACTGGAGAGGAAGTGCTTTATCTTTTCTATTGCCAATTACAAGTGTCCAAAAGCACATTAAGTTGAAATAAAAGAAGAATAATCCGTGTTGAATTGTGTGAGACCTGCAGACAGGGAGACAGGCAGTGAGATATACTGCTGGAAAGGTTAGCCGTGTAAGATGTTTGGATTTTTACCAGCCAGCGTGACGTCTAATCAGAGCTAAACTCACAATGTGACACGATAACGACTTGAAAACAACAAGGTGTCTTGCAGCAGATGACATGGCCTCCACAGATCTCTTCATCATGGTGTTAGTGTGGGGTTAAATGAAGACTTAAATACAGAATAAATACAGAATTTTAGGAAATAACCATACACATTGCACTGAGGTGAAGTGATTTTAGATGTGCATGATAGGCAGCACTTTTGAGTAGACTTATAAATTGTAAAATAAAGTGTTCAAGGCATTTATTCGCAAGCATCCTTATTGTTACAGGCTACATCTTTTGCACAGTACTGAAAGCACAGCTCATGCTGCAGGGTGGGAAATGTTAAATGTTGTGTTTATACTTACAGAGCACAGTGAGTGCAACGTTGGCACAGACGGAGGCCAAAAAGTCAATAAGTATCAGGAGAATCATCTGACTCCTCAAACACTCAGTACCCTGCTTCAGTCCCTGGGAGCCTGATTAGACACAAAACAGTCCACAGCATGGTAGCTGTCAATTAATCCTCTGACTCTGTGCTGAGCAGAGCCGTTTGACCAGAATTTAGCTTCACAGCATTAACAATTCCCACATGAGAACAAGTCGTAACAGTTAACACAAGTGGATATTTTCTTCATTGGTGTGCCAGGCTGTTAGATTACAGATATACTACCACACACAGATGGGCTCTGTTACTCAAGAAACAGGCAGATGATGTAAAGTCAAATATGCATCTAAGAATTGCCGGAGAAATAGATTCTTGCGATGCTTTTGGTCTTTGTGACAGATTAGCTTGAGCAAATTTAAACTTTAACATACAGACTTGAGTATTTAATCGTGCAATTAATTAGTGTTAGCCTCGTAAATAAAAAATAAAACTTCAAAGACTAGGTATTTTACCATCAAATAATTCCAAACAGATTGCAAATTTTCATGTCAACACATAAAGCTTAAAAACATTAAATGCTCATATTAAAATTCAGCAGGTGCAAATTTTCTGGGTTTTTCTAAACAGAAAAAGATTAGGTGTTAATGATATTCACACAAATTGATGCATTTTTATCTCGTGAATTTTATGCATTTTTAGCATTAACTCAATGGAGGTTAAAAAAAATCATACTGAGAAAGATTTTTATTTTAATGAAGAACGTTCAGATATTAAAAAGTTTGAATGAAAGTATTTATAAAGTGACACTGTAGATAGGATTTCTTGCTGTTGTTTATCTGCTGATTTTTTCTCTATTACACCTTAAGTACGTTAGTCATAAACTCATTGCCCATATTCTTAAGTACAAAAAGCTTTTTAGAATTTTATCTTACTGTACAAAAAAAAAGAACAAATTGGGAGTAGTGTGTGAACTTTTAATTTAAAATCTATAAATGTGCTTCAATCAGGTGTTTATTTATTTGAGAGTTTTGGTCACAAAAGATGGCAGGACGAAGCGAAAGACCTTGGAATTGTCAACGGTAATGGTGAAGTTGCCCCAGCCTATTGGGGTGATGAAGGCACCGAGCCGAAATGCAACACTCTTGATTTACTGGTTCATCTACATTCCAACCCTCACCCATGATCAGGAGGTATGACTCATTACTAAAAGAACGAGATCCCATACTAGTGTCTAAAACTGGATTTTTCCATAAGTTGTTCTGGACTCAGTCTTAGAGATAAGGTGAGGAGCTCCATCATCTGGGGGCAATGGATCTCCTCCTCCTGCTCAGAAAGAAGTCAGTTGAGGTGGTAGGCATCTGATTATGCATTCATCTGGAGGTTTTATTGTTATATAGAAATGGGAGGAGACACCATGATGGATCCAGTACTCGCTGTAGAGGGGTCATATATCCTCTCTGGCATGGGAATGCCTTGGGCCCCCCAGAAGGAGCTGAAGAGTGTTGCATGGTTGAGGGACATTTGTTTTTTTTCCTGGACATGTTGCCTTTCCAAACTGACCATGAACAGACTGAAGAAAGTGGATGGATGGAAGGGTGGTGTTTAAAACAATCACTACATTACTAATGTATTTTAAATACTCTGACTCTAAAAAAAAAAGTGTTTGTCCTTGTTGCACAGGAAAAGTGTGAATTTGTTGCAAGACTTTTTGCATTTTAAAGTAACACAGGAATTTTCATAGTGCAGCCAACTACATAAAACAATGATATATCAGAGAGAAAAAAAAATTGTAGTAATTTTGTGGACATTTATAAATTAAGTAATAAATAAGTCAGTAACACCAAAAAGACTTGCGAGACTTGAAGGCTAATCGCGACAAAACCCTTCCTTGGTGAGAAGATACCTCCTCCCCATAGTCGTGTCAAACAAGAACACAGTGATGCCAGAGTTTATAATGAATATGAACACATTTTACAACAGTAGACAAAACAACACTCAAGACCAGCTCAATATTTACCCTTCAATCCCCTGATACAAGATTCTCTGGATGGATGTAATCACAAGTAACATCTCCAGAAGTCCACCAGACAGACACACGAACGTGTCTTCTTGAGAATCATTTCATAAAATTACACAAAAACTCTGAGCTGAATTTCATGAAACATAATGAAGAGGCGTAAGGGAGGTAAAAAGTAATATTGTGAATATGGCTCATCTTCTGTAAAATTACATAACAGGGCGCTGACCTTGATGATGTGACTGCTGACAGAAGCAGAATGCTTTCTGCAAGTGTTGAGTTCTACCGTCAGCTCAGATTCAGCCAAATACAGCAGAACCGATAGCTCAGCGCTTCGCTGCACAGATGGATGGTGACTAAAAAAAAACTACAAAAGCAACTCAAAGGGTTATTAAAGCCCCCCAAAAATAATATTTTTAAATGGCCTAGTACGTAAGCTGATCTGCTCCAAAAAGAAGGCTTCACACTTAAAAAAATAAAAATGAAGACAGAGAAACAAACTAATGACTGAAGACATCTGCAGGAGGAAACTGGCAAAACATCAAACATCATGAATCCCACCATGTGCTGATGTCCAGATGTTAGAGACTTCAGGCAGCTGTCATCTACAGAAAACAACATATATTTAAACAGTTGCTTCTATTAACGAGTTGTGCTTGAGCATGTTAAAGTGCTACAATAAAAATAATTTACAACCAATTATTATAACACCCATTGAATTAATATTACGTTTGCTTGCTTCATTTATTTCTGGTGGGGTGGTGGTTTCCTGTTCAGGGGGCGAGGAGGCTGGTTGCTTTCCCCACCTCAGTTTACAAAAAAAATAATCCAACCTCATCAATTCCATTCTGACTATCATTCAAAGTCATAAAAGACAAAAAACTATGATTAAGATTATTGGATGAACAACTACAAGTGATGAACTTTTAGAGTTAACCTGATTTAAGATGGCTAATTAGCCTTATCAAACACCAAACGCCTTAAACTCAGTCAGTTTTACAGATACTGAGCTAAAATTTGATGTGGTAGTACTGTATACAACACATACTCTGAACGCTGAAACATGTTGTAATGCCTTAGTTTAAACAGCCATATGTATTCCTTCAAGGAACATTAGTTTTATGTTAAACCGAAAATTTGAATTTGGTGGGTTTTCCTGCATGATGAGCAGTTTCACTTGTTAATTCAAATCTTAATTAATATGACGATGATGGCTGCAGTAGCTCAGTGGTCAGTGTCATGGTTTCATATCCCTGAGGCTGCAGGCTCAAGTCCAGGTTGCATCAAGAACAGCATCTGGTGTAAAATAATTTTAAAATCTCTCATGAGTCCACTTACTGTGTTGACCCCTGCAGAAGGGGGCAGCTGAAAGAAAAATAAAATATGAGTTTTTTTATTTTTTTATTATTTCTTTGAATATTTAAATGTCCATTAAATGCATCAGAAAAAAAGAACATTTGTCATTTTGATTGAGTATTGTGGGTACTTTTAAGCAAGGTACGAGTAAATATTTCAGTTTTTTTGTTAACATTTTTTCAAATATGAGTAGGAATTTTTTTCAGTCTTTTACTAGAATTTGTCTATTAAGCATTCATGTGATTTAGTTCATATTTAATAAAAATGACAGAAATGTGAAACCAAAGTTTTAAACACGACTTCAACAAATGTTTAGATTTTTTGACAGAAAAATATGCCCTAATTTAAAATACATGTTTCATTCACATACATAGTTTGACTAATATTTAATATTAAAATAGGTGTAATGATCTATAAATGAACGTTTCTGATTATTAAAACTATTTATTGTATATTATTTATTTTGATATAAAGTCCTATAAAATGTGCAGCACAGTCATGTTCAGTAACTAAATCGAGGTGATTTCTTTTTCTTTAAACGTGTAAAGATGTCTGCTTTGGCCTCACAGATGCTCAAAGAATCAGAGCTGTGTTTGAGGATGACTCTGCGCCCTCTGGCCTCGACTCCTCCCTGATCTCCTGCAGACTGGAGCAGTTGTCTCTCTCCTCCACGTCTGTTGTGTCCTTGTTAACAGTCCCTCTTCACGCTGCGCCTCCCCTGCTCCCGAAAGGCCTCAGTCTCTCCACTCCCGAGCAGCAATATTTCTCCTCGAAATCAAATTTGTTGCTGCTGGTTGATTTATCGAGGCACACTCTCCTGCGCCTGCAGCACCACTGCAGTGTTGAACAAATGTGTCCAGTGAGGAGCTGTGGAGTTTCACAGTGCTGCGGCTATGACCAGATCATTTCAGCTGACTGCTTCCTGAAAATGGGAGGCTATTTTTTCCACTTTGTTGGCTCAGTTTTGTTGACTTATCCATGTTTTTTTTCTTCTGTCTATTAGTCCTGTATTGCCTAATTCCCAGGGGTTTCCACACTTTAACCTGATTTGGAGTGAAGGAGTGATTCTGGGTTTAGCAGATGTGTGATGGATGAGTCAGACTGTTTTTGAGAACAGGTGAAAAAAACAGCAAGTACCTCCAGCTTACTGACAATGATTAACTTTAGCAAGGCTGTGATGGGAAAACAGCTGAAAGGTGTGTTTTCAGAAAGTGGAGCTTTGAAGAAAATGGGACTCTGGTGATGAGAATAACTAATAGTCTGCACATTTTAGCACGCTTCTTTTCTTATTATATGAATTTGTAAAATAAATCTTCATGAAGCAGAAGACGTGTTAGTTCATGTGCCAAGAAAAACAAAGTATATTGAATATGGGAAAAGAACAAAAGGCCAACAGCTTTTTTAGAGTTGGATGTCATGTAATCTAGAGGTGATATTTTGTGTTTATTCTGTTTATGAAGGGAATTAAAATGACTTTCGACCCACATATGCACGAGCATGTAAGTGCTGAGTCACACTGTCCAGGTGTGCATCTTTGACAGTTTGGATCAGAAAACTGGGATGGAGGGAACTTTGCTCATGTAGTAGTAAATAATCAAAACTTCTAAACCGAGCACAATATTTTCTTTGTCACATCCCGAGTTTGCATTTAAAACATCACACATATCACTGCGGACCCTGTGCTGTATAATGTTCATGTTTTATTATTATTATTGTCATTACTCATGTTCTTTTTTACATTGCTGTTTGCATTATTGCATCTCTCAAATTATTTCTGAATATATATAATATCTTATATTTCAGGTTTATTTATTTATTTATTTATTTGTTTGTTTATTATCGTGTGCATGCTGCAACAGCATTCACACTAACTACATACCTTGTGCTGTGTTGTCAGTTCGTGTATCGATACATTCAGGAGATGGGTGTTACTATTTATTTTGTTCATTTACTTTTATACTTTTGAGATGTTTATCTTTATTTTCAAATATTTTCCTCAGACCTGTTCAGTTCTTTCAAAATATTTGCTATTTTTCTTTTCATGGTACTTTTAGCTACAGTTCTACTACTTTTAGATTTGAATTAGCTTTTTGCTGTTTTTAGCTTTTAACTAGCCCTTTTCTGCCTTTAGTTTTATTTTAGTTTTATTGTTCTAAGACAGCTTAGAAACATTTCAGAATGATGGGTTGAGAACTAGCTACTCTGCTACTTTTAGCTTCTACGTGTTTAGATTTGTAGTTAGTCTTTTGATATTTTTGTTCAACCTTTTTCTACTTTTTGTTTTCAACTGCCTTTTACAGCTTTTAATTTTACTGTTCTAAGACAACTAAGAACTATATCAGGATGGCAGCTTGTAAGACAGCTAGCATTCTGCTAGTTTTAGCTTCTAACCAGCCTTTCGATGCATTTTAACATTTAGCTAATCTTTTGCTACTTTTAGCATTTGGCTATTCTTTTTTTAACTTTTTAACTTTTTTTGCTGGTTTTCTTTTAGTTTTAGCAGGTCAGTTTCAGCCTGGTGAAACTTCAGCAAGTCATTCAGCTCTCAGCTTTCAGTTTCTCTGGGTAAATTTACTTCAAGTTCAAGTTCAAGTATCTTGTCATTCGCATCACATGTGGTGCATAAAGTGGAATGAAATTATGTACTCAAGGTCCCAGTTACAGCCAAAAATAGCAAAAATATAAAGTATAAAAAGAAATTGTAAGGATCTAAGTTATACACTAAACAAATGCCAAACGGTAAAAGATCTAAAATATACGCTAAACACTAATAATGTAAAAATAATACGGTATATTAATCAACAGCCCAAACACGAGTCTGAAGTGAGCAGATGGGTATGAATGAATACAGCAGCATGAGATAGTCAGACTTCTTTATTATAATTAATGACTGGTGCAAAACTAAAGACAGAGCAGACGTTTCCCGGCATGACAGAAAATCTGAGAGCCACCGATCTGATTAAACATGTCAAGGTCAGTCCTGTGTTTCACATTATTGCAGTCGTTGTTTGCTTGCTTTGATGAAGACTTTGATCTGTTGGGTACATTTGTACAATCCCTACTTTCCCTTCTCTTTAGTCCAAAAACTATAAAACCTCTAGAGATCACAGATGGAGCTCATGAGATCTTCAGCTCACAGACACAATGAATCCTGTGAAAGGTAAGATGTGTTTGTGTAGATGTTGATGTTTCTGTGGTCTGCTTGAATCTGCTTTAAAATAAATAATCTGCTCTCTGTCATCAGGTAACCTCAGCACCATCCTTTGTGTCCTTATGGGCCTTTTGGTTTCTGAAATCTCCTGTGAAGCACCCAAGAAAGAAGTCCAGAAGAGTCTAGAAAACGAGGCAGCATTTCTAAAAGTTAGACTCGCCTTGATGAAGAATCACTACAAGCTCTTGTGTCACCAGTTCTCCAGTTTGGCACAGAACTGCTCAGCTCCAGGTACGGTCCTCCTCCAGGCTCCAGCAGGTGGATGATGACTTGTTACTTGTTAAAATGGTTTAAATATGCCTTTTTGTCCTTAAAGCTATCAGATGCACAGAGTGTCCTGATGGGTGGCTTCAGGTTGAGGATCAGTGCTTCTTCCTAAGCACTGAAAGGCTGGATTTTTCTACCAGTGCTGCTAAATGTAAAGATATCGGTGCCCATCTTGCCATCTTGACCACAAGAGAGCAGCATGCAAGTGTTTTTTTTTTCTTTTATCTGGATGATTTTTGCAATTTTTACAAATGTATTGTCTTAATTTAAAATGAATGCTTAATTTAAACGTATAGGAGGCTGTGGAAAAAGAAGGCAGGAGGCTTGGAGGACACTACATCTTCTACTGGATTGGACTGAGTGACGCTACGAATGAAGGAGACTGGAGATGGATGGACAACTCAATGCTCACAACCTCGTATGTATTTTTTTTTTAAACTGATTAAATTCATCCTGATTAGTTAGATTCTATCATCAGCAGTAAAAATGTGGGCATTTTAATAGAGACGTGTTCAAAGAAAGCAACAACTGCTGATTATTTTTTTGTATAAAGAAACGGCTCTGACTGGAACAGTAGAGTAGCATCAGTGTAAAATAATATAATCTATTTAGAATAGCTTTTAACATTTGTGTTACCCAGAGTTGATTGATTTTAAAGTTATTGCACCACCAAAAAATCACGAACACAGGTTACACTTGTGGTAAGCACTCAAAATTAAATTATGTTGTCACCAAGCTGACAATAAACATTTGTTTAAATGGTAAAAACTGATAACGATCATGCTTTATTCTTCATTTTAAGGTCAGTGATACTCAATGCAACATACAGCATATGTTTGTTTTTCACAATCGCGTATCAGATCTGACATGTGGCGTACTGCGGTACAACTGCAAGCCTAAATAACTGCACAGATTTAAAAATGGATTTGACTCATGGGAATTAATGTTAGAAGACTTGCCGTTTTCTAAAATCTCAACAAAATGAAGCAGAAATAATAATTTAAAAAAAATATGAGAAAAGCAGAAAAAATAGGATCATAGCTGACGTCATTCTGTCATGATGAAAATGGAACTACACTCAACATCAACATGCCCCAAATAAAAAACATTATAGACTTCAACGTAGGCCTCATACTGTAAAAATGTCAGTTTTCCGCCTACGTAAGATTAATTCTGTGCGTGTTCACAATGACGTGACATTAAAGGTTTTAGACTCAACTGATGTTCAGCCAACTTGAGGATCATCACTGACAAAGCTTTAGGGTCGCTGCCAAGACTGTAAAGAGTAATTTTAATCCAAAAAGTGGTTTTCTTTCTCTAAATGTTATGTAAACTATGGATTTTTTTTTTAAAGGCAGATAATGTAAAATAAGGATTAGCTGATGATCAGGTCATTTCTATCTGATGAAGATGAGGAGGGCTCTTTAGAGATGTGTTGTTTCATTCAACGTTGAGGCGTCTCTTACCTCACGGTGGTGCTTATGAGTCGTCCTCTTTAGTTCACTCACTGTGATCTGTGATTAAAGTGATGCTGGGACACATTGTGAACATCTGCTGTTTCTTCAATCTAAACATCCTGCTTTAAAAACATGTAGCTACAATGAGTGGAATAAAATTCATGTTCTTGAGTTGTCTGCAGTCACAGGGTGAGTGCACACACAGTCTCATTCGTAATGGTTTTATTCTTACATCCTCTTTGTGAAGGTTTTGGAACGTGCATAAATCAGAACCAGACAACCACACCTCTGGTGGTCCAGATGGAGAGGACTGTGCAGTGGTGGACAGCCACAGTCAGAGCTGGTACGACGTTCCCTGTGGGTTCCAGTATCCTCGGATCTGTCAGAAGGCCGCCGACCCGCTGATATGAGACCATCAAGCACACCATTTCAGAACGATCACTTTTTAATTGAAATCTTCAGAGTACATTTATAACATTTAGGTTTGTACATTTTACAGCTTGTCTTCAGGTTTAAAGCAAAATCATTTCGTCTGGCAAAAAGATCCTGTTTTAATTTTCAAGAAATAAAATAAGAACGTGGGCAGAAATATTATACATGTAGACATTTTTTATACAACCAAGTGTGTGTGTGTGTGTGTATGTATGTATATACAGTATATAGGGGGCTTTAATAGGTTGGTGGTCAGCACAAGGTCTCATGATCATGGGGCCATGGGTTGGAGCCCAGGTTGGATCAGGAAGGGCATCAAGTGCAAAACAATTGTCAAATCTAAGTTTGCTCCCTGCAGTGACTCTTGCAGAACGAAGTCGCTGAAAGAAAATGATCAACAACAGAAAATATTTATATGGTAAAACAACAAAACATCACAAACGGTTATGTCAAAATTCTCAGAAATATGTGTTTAGTACATCGAAAGTGCACATTTCTGATTCTGAAATGGTTAGAGCCAAAAAAGAAGGTCCAAGTAAAGCAAATTGCCGCGTTGTAAAACATAAACTCATATTCAATTTGAAGTTAAACACAGCACAGACAGCTGATCAATACTTGACTAAAAACATCAGCAACAAATCAGACTGAGTGTGAAAGGAACCTTTCATATTGTCTAAAGTAAAATAAAAAATGTTGTTTCCACTCTGAAAAACTGAGTTAAATGATTAAAGCATGCTTACATTTTTTAAATTACAAATAATTTTGGGATTTGTTCATTTATAGAATATAAAATTGTTGAGGGGCGGCATGGTGGAGCAGTGCTTAGCACTGTCGCCCAAACAATAAGAAGGTCGCAGGTTCACCTCCTGCCTTTTCTGTAGTTTGCATGTTTTTCTTCATGCACATGTTGGTTTCCTCCACTCTGGGTTCCCCTCACAGATTAAAAACATTAATAGGTAACTCTAAATTGTCCCTAGATGTGAGTGAGAATGTGAATGCTTGTTTGTCTCATTTGTCTCCATGTGTCCATGTGATGGACTTGTGACTTGTCCAGGGTGTCCCCTGCTGCTCGTTGAGTGACCGTTGGAGATGGAAAAAAGTTCTACAAGTGACCCAGAAAGGAAAAAGCCAGTCAAAAAAAAAAATGGATGGATGGAAAAATTATAAATAAAAATTTAAATAAACAACAAAGGAATGAAATTTAAAATTCTAACATTTAGATTCCTGCACGGATTATTCAAAAACCATCATCAGTAAACAAAATGTACTAAAAAGCTGTTACAGTAGGTGAAAAAAACTATCACACGACAAAAATACTGCGGCTATTTCTGAACCGGAACTCATCAAAAACAGATTAAAAAGACGTGCGCTCTGACCAACACTAGTTCTAGAGGAGAAATTCTGAAGGAAAAAGAATATCAGCAAATAACATAATGTCAACGTAAAGTAGGACCAAAGTACTGTACAATAAATAAAGCAACTACAAAATAATCGTGACACAATTTTAGTAAAATAAAAACAAAACTGACTGAAGTTTTTTAAAAAGTCAAGTGAAAAAAATATATTTCAGCTGAAAACACAAAACAAACACTAATTTTGACTGGCTCAACACCAATATAAAAGCAGGCAAAACTTTGCTCAAAATCTCTAATAACGTTTTGTGCTTTTTTAAAAAATTACTTAGTTTTCAGCTCATAACCACAACATGAGATAAAACAGTCATTAACATGTTTCTTTAATCAAATTCAAAACATACATTTCATTTACAATAAACTTTTAAAATGAGCATTTATATGTTGTTTTTAATACTTTTTGTTTAAATACAGCTTTGAATGAATCACATATTACATGAGCTTTTTATGTTCACAGAATTTTCCACACTTTATCATCCTTTCCCCAAACAACTGTAAAAGCTGTTCAGATTGTCAAAAGAGGTTAAACTATGTACAGCTATAAAACTGAAAAAGATTTTTCTCATCTGTCTCATCCGCACAGTTCAGTAAATATGACGATGCTTTCAGGAGAGAGATCCATCAGTTTTATGTCCTGATGTGAATGTCTTCTGTTAGGTCTTGTAGAATCCTTTGGGCTTTGGGCTGAAAAACAAAAGATTCATTTTAGGTTAGCTGCACAGTCCAAAATGCTAATATTAATGCTAACAATGAATTAAAAGACATTTAAGCTGAAATTGTTGTTTAGATTTCAAGTTTTGTCATTATTGTCAGTTCGGGAGTTTCTTCTTACTGTGCACATTGGCAGAGTTGATGCCTGAGGTGTCTCATCCTCCGCTGAAGAGGTCCAACAAGAAAAAGACAAAGACGTGAACATTTCTAAAGTGATGGTTTTCTTGTCTAACCTCATGGAAAGGCCTAATGTACCTGTCGTCTGCGGTAGAGGATGAACCCCACAACAAGGAGGAGGATCAGGATGACTCCAGCGCTGCAGATGGTCACCAGCATCCACACACTCAGAACGGGTTCTGCGTAGAGCAGAGAACATGTCATACAGGACCACGTTTGTGGCCACAGGTTCGTGCCCGTGTCCCACTTCCTGCTCTCTTCTCACTTCCTGTGCTCACCGATGCTCAGAGTTATCTCGGCTGATGTCAGGCGGGTCCAGTTCTGCAGCAGCTCACACCTCCACGTTCCAGAATCTTCTGTGCTCACCTTGGGGATGACGAGGCGGTCTGAAGGAGGGCCGGCTGCTCTCAGGGATGACCGTTTAGGATGGAGCCACTTCACCTGGATGCCAGGGAGCAGCTGATCTCCGGTGGAGCAGGACAGGTTGAGCTGGTTGCCAGAAATTAACTTTACTCCTGGGGAGGGGACGACTAGAGAGGGAGAGGACGAAGGACTAGATCATAAATCGTCCCTTTTATAAACAGCAGTTGTTACTTCCTGAATCAGACACAATCACATCACAATTTCACTATTGAAACTGCGTTCATATTTGATGTGCAAGACATTTTAGATGTTCCAAAGAACATTACAAATGCATAACTTTTGTCTGATTCCAAACGACTATTTTAATTCTTTCTTCTCTCCTCTGAATAATATGACAATAAATGTAATGTTTTACTGACTGAATCAACATGTTTAGTTATTCATCGATTTACTCTTATGGTTGAGTGAAAACATTATTAGCTATAAGTTTCATGGAGACTGAATTACGAACAAATCAAAGAATTATTTTTTTTTTTTTCAAATGTGAGATGAAAATAATAAATTATGACCAAGGCCAAGCTTTCTGAAGGGCGTACTACGGTAGTTCTTAACTTATGAAGTTTAGAAAACAAGTTGTTTTACTAAATATCACTGGGAATCCAACAAATGTCATTCAGGTCATCTGGACGGTTTCCTTTTTTTTTTGAGACGTTTCATCCTTCATCCAAAAGACTTCATCAGTCCGAGGAGCCACAACAAACTCAGTCCCACAAGCACCACACTTACATAGTGAACCAACCAGTTTGCTGGTGATAAGATGGTATCTGGGGCCCTCCCTCTCCCCCAACAACTCTTCAGAGGCAGCCATAGCCAAAGTAGTTCAAAACATAAAAGTTCATGCTCAATAATCCAGGTAAAAAAAATCCAACAAAGTTCAGTCAAGTCATCTGGATGGTTTCTTTTTTTTTGTTGTTGAGACGTTTTGTCCTTCACTTTGGCTATGGCTGCCTCAGAGGAGTCAATGAGGGAGAGGGCGGGCCCCAGAAACCATCTTATCACCAACAAACTAGTTGGTCCGCTATGCGAGTGTGCTGCTTGTGGGACTGTGTTTGTTGTGGCTCCTTGGACTGATGAAGTCCTTTGGATCAAGGACAAAACGTCTCAAACAAAAAAAAAACAAAAAAAAAAACTGTCCGGATGACCTGACTGAACATTATTGGATTTTTTACCTGGATTATTGAGCATGAACTTTGATGATCACTGGGAATAACTTTAATTTCTGTCATCATTGTTTCTATCAAAGAATTTTAAATGTTTAGAGAGCTGAGATAATTTTAAAAAGCAGTCAGATTTAACACATATGCAAACAATAGGAATATTTCTTCTCTAAATCTCTATTTAAACTCATACTAATGTGGTGAAAACATGTCAAAACATTAACTTCTGTGCACCAGGTCTGTGTTCCGCTTTGATTACTTTTCATCAAATCTTTAGTCGTGCTTTGAAATCAGTTTCACCGGCAGGGAATCAACCGCAGCAGAGCTTCTGATAAGTTCAGATGATAGGCCTCAGATAGATTTTAGAAACTGTAAATTTAGAGTCTGTGTAGTGAGCAACTCTTTTTGTAAATAGAAACTTTGACGTTCATGTGCACATAATTGTTGTTGTAATTGGTTTTTAAAAAATCGGTGGGGCCCTACAGTATTTCTTGCCCAGGGGCCCATACCCTCTGAAGCCCTGCCTTGCACACAACAAATGCAAATAATAACAAAACTTGTCTAATTAGTCCAATTAAAATCAGGTTGGACTTACTTTGCAGCACCTCCACTTGTACGGTGCTGTTCAGAACAAAGCCATTCAGGAATGTTACTGAGCAGGTGTAGGTCCCTCTGTCATCTACACCTGCCCAATTTTTGGACAAAGAAAAGTTTCCACCTTTTGTAAAGTTAGTGTACGTCAGGCCTCTGCTTTGGTCCACTGTTTCCATCCATTTAGACCCAAGTGAGACGGAGAAGAGCCTCTGTGGACTGGAGGATGTTTTGGGGGTGAAGTGCCACTCAACTTTCTTGATTTTTTGTGCTATGTTTTTCAACTTGTCGGGGGTAATCAAAAATGGCACTTTGAGGGGGGAGTTAGTGGATGTATACTGAGAGGGAGGAGCAGCCGAGAAGTCTAAAAGACAGAAAATAAACTTTTATATTCAGGACAAATATACAGTCATAAGAAATTAGCAGATATTTGTCCACACAAAGCGACTCACCTGCTACAGAAACTGTAATTGGGAATTTGAAGAGTTTTTTATCGCTTACTACGCATGTCCACTGTCCACTAACTTGACTTTTGGCTGTGAAACGAAGTTTTCCTTGATCACTGTGCTCTGTATTTTCCTGTGGGTTTGTCCAGTAAACTTTGGGGTTTGTTAGACCTTGAGGAGTCTCCGTGTTGCAGCTCAAAACCACTGAATCTGAAGGCATCACTGGTGAGGGTGGATTCATGTGAACTGGTACAAAATATAAAGGAAGGGTGTGGTTAAAGGGACTTTAAGTACGGAAGTCTTTTAGTAAGAAATGTACGTTTTATTTAAAAGAAAAGATTTGGAGGCTGACTAGTTAAACTTTGCTGTCTGATGTAAGATTTCCAAGAAAAACATTAATTATTTATTAGTAACACACTGTGGAAAAACATGCACTACAATTTCACATTCAAAACAAAAAAATGCATCATAGTCAATATAAAATGTCAAATAATAGTTTTTTGTTCTTACCGATTACTTTGATTATTCTGAATTTAGTCTCAGATAAGGGATTTGGATTTGTCGGCACTCTAAAAATACAGGAAAAATCTCCAAAGTGTTCTTCTTGGATGTTTGTTATTGTCAGTGAACTGGCAGACATAGACAACCTATTTTTCCACATTTCATCTGCAAGACAACAAATGATGATATGACTGATTATTTCAAAGTACCTCAAGTTGCAACAAATAAGCATGTTTAATTGGTAAATTATAAAAATAAATCATGTAATTACTATTTCAATGTTCATTCAACCTTTATTTAGACAAGTAAATCCCATTGAGTCTTTTAGGACTCATTTACAAGAGAGACCTGATTTCAGCAAAGAATGATGACAAAGTTCCTCTTACCTAAATCCATTTTTTTCCCACCTAGGTGGTTGAACCAGATGAAGGATTCAGTCTGTGTACCAAAGCACCAGTAAATATAAAAATTGCTTTTAGGAGGATCCGGTATATTCAGGGTAACACTGTCTCCCACCCGAGCATAGATCACCTCCTCAGCTTCTAGCAGAATAAAAGAGGACAAATACTGATGTAAAAAAAACAACAACTATTTTTCAAACAATCTAATCTGCACTTTCTGTGCCCTACCAGTTGTCCGGAGCATGGTGATAAGAAAGATAATAAGCTGGAATAAGATCTTCATTATGTTCTCAATCCTGAAAGAAAATGGGGAAAACAATTGAGATACAGTATTTTATAAAGTTGATTTGTAGCTTTTGCTAATTTCTTGTTTGGTTTCAGAAAGCACTGAAATAAGGTGGGAAAAAACTAACTTCTAATTCAGTTCCTTGCAGCTGAAAGTCCACGATGTGATGTTTTTTAATGTCTATGACAGAAGAGTAGAGTCAGAAAAGTATACCGAAGAGTGGCGATCCAGCTGCAATGCAGAAAAATAAACGTAAATCACCAGCATGGACATAAATAACCATCTTGACGTAGCTTTACATAAACAGAGCCTAATAAAAACAGTGGGCCAAGTATAGAGACCTGTGGAATACCGGAAGGCTTTGATTGTCATTAAATATGTTTTCTGAATTGCTTGTGCAATAATTTTGTTGTGTTTTTGAATATTACTGATGAAGAATAAGCCTTAAAATATATTATAACTAGTTTAAAACAATTACTGGCACATGTAAACTTGACAATTTTGGAACTTAATTTGAATGTGCCAGAATGGTTTTTGGCATAACAAGTTTATCCATCTCTTTTTGTTGCCTATAGTAAACCCATATCTTGTTTCTTTTTTAATCAGTCATCACATACAAAAGTTAAACTGTTGAATTCTTCAGTCTACAGTAGAATCATGTTAGAAAAAACATCATAATTGCCTAAACATGGACTATTTTTAATTAATTAATGTATTTATTTTTTGCTCTTTGTTTGCCTAGTGTTCTCGTCAGTTGTATAGCTGTTTTAGGTCATGCTATTTTTAATTACGGTAGTTTGGAATCTTATTCACCCATACTAAATATCTTTCAGGTGTACCGTAAATAAAATCCAAATGCATGTTTAAAGAAGCATTCCTACCTGACTAGTCTTTACAGTACAATATTATTTTGTATATTTGTATTTCAAACTGTGCTACAAAGTGAAATCCTTTAGCAGGAAGCAACGGTGGGTTTGAGGTGGTCTCAGATTTAGAGAGATTTGAGGAGATAAAAGACGACGAGTTCACAGAGGTGACAGTAGGCGGCCTGTGGTGGGCTCTGGAAGACAATGAACAGACAAACGCTGAAGGGAAGAGACGCTCAGAGCGAACGCTGGGTTGTGGTGGGACTTGATTTAGTTAAGGTGCAGATTCTTATCCCGATGCTCCTCCTCTGCCTCTCACACCCCTTCTCTTCCTCCCCTGTTCCACGAAAGACGGATCTCTCCACGCTTAAAGGAGAAATAAGACAGACCACAGCACAGGCAGCACACCTAGACTGTGGTTTAATGTAGATGTTTCTCTCTTCTTTTTTTTTTTTTACCCCATTTTACTGTTTTACCTTCATTTCACTCCGTTACACTCTGAGGTTTGTGTAAAAAATCATGTTTGAAGAGTAAGCATTGAATTAATTTAAACACGTTATGTAAATAAATGGTTTTGTTGCCGCCTACTTCCTGTGCTGATGATTATTCTTGGTAATAATGATTTTACTTTGAAATTATTAAGGTTTTGTATCAGTTTTTAAATAAATTATTATCCATTAAAATTATTTAAATACTAATGAATGCTAGAATATTTGAAATATGTTAGATTAAACAAATGAATGCAGTGAAAGGGATTCAGATCAAATTATTATTATTATTATTTAATCTTATTTATGTATTTAGGATTCAAACTTCATTGTTTTATCTTTTCTCAAAGTTAACAAAAACTGACAAATAAAATATGTCAAATAATAATAAAGTTAATTGATAACTTGGACATTTTTTGCTGATGTTGCAGGACTATTATTTTGGTAAAATGTTCCTGGATTGGGTCAGCTCGGTCCTCTTTGCATTGTTTCACTCATATAACACTGTTTGATAAATGTTTTTAAAAATTAAGTCAACCAAATATCTCTACATTTGTCCGTTTCGATTAGCACAAAAGTCAAATTCATAAAAAGATTAAAATCTACGCTGGTGAAGCTTCTTACTCTCTCAAACGGCCACTCAAATTTTAATTTTATTATTATTTCTGAAGACATCTGTTTCTCATCCGAGGAGTTTTCTCAAATAAAGTATTTGAAGTAACTGTATCGATAATAATGTTTAATTTTTCAATATTGCATTTAAATATGTGAATGTTGTGGGCGGCTGTGGCTGAGTGGTTAGAGCAGTCGTCCTCCAATGGACGAGTTGGGGGTTCAATTCCACCTGCAGTCACATGCTGAAGTGTCCCTGGGTGAGACATTGAACCCTCATTGCCTCCGATGTGTGTCCCATCAGTGCATGAATGTGATAAAAAATGATTTATTCTTTGTATAGATCTAGTAGAGTGTTGTATGAATGGGTAAATCAGGGCACAGATTGTGTTGTAAAGAGCTTTGAGTATCTTGATAAGATAGAAAAGTATAAGTACAGTCCATTTACCATGTTGTTTTATTTATCTGTCTGATCAGTTGACGAACTAAAGAACAATAGTTTTATCAAGACTTTTCATTGCAGTTGTTCCCAAACCTTTTTCTTCTTTTGACCCACAAAAGAAACGTTGTGGAGACTTGTCGCTCCATTTAGCTAAAGTTAATGGACATTTTATTCATCTAAGCCTTGTTTACAATACAGCAGGTATTTTATGCATTTAAGATAATTATTTTTTATTTTGTGAACGTAAAGACAAAATGTTTTATTGCTGATCATGTTTAAAATCAATTGGATTTCTGCAGATCTTCTCAGGACCCTGTTTAGTCTCCTGATGCATGCTCAATAATCCAGGAAGAAAAATAAAAAATGTAGAAACATTTCGTCTTTCATCCGCAAGACTTCTTCAGACTGAAGAAGTCTTGCGGATGAAAAACAAAATGTTTCTACATTTTTTTGTTTTGTTTTGGGTTTTTTTGGTCCAGAGGAGCAGATTTAACTTTTTTAGACCCTGTTTGGTGTTTCACAATCCTTAAGAGGATCCCAAACCCAACTTTGGGAACAATCGATCTAAATCAAGTTTAAACACTATTTAGTTTAACGTTATGTATGATTTGATAAAACAATAAGTGTATTCTTCATTTAAAAAAATTTTAGAACAAAATGTGAGCGTCAGAGTGACATCAATGATGCGCAAACGTTTAAAGTTTTTGCACCTGAAGATGTTTAACCCAGAAAACCACGAGGATCACGTCGGCAGCAGGAGGAAGCTTCAGCAGAGAGTGATGAGTAGGGGGAGGGGTGGATGAAGGTCAAACACAACAAACGGGTGAAGAAAATGAAAAACAGGACAGGCAGGAAGACGTTTCCATCTTCACTGAAGTGGATCTGTGTTTGTTTTTGATCTGTTTTAGTTTTTACCAGATTAATTATCTTTTTTCTTTTCTTGCTCCTTCTCATTCTGCAAGCGTTACCTAAATACTTTATTGTTAGTCTTTTATTTGCCTCCATTAGAAATATGTGCACATATTGTTTATGCAAAATAAACAGGTCTCTCTGATGCCCATAATTTATTTGACAAACTTAAGAATAAGTCATAAAAACTGTTAGTAGGTCATAAAGTTGTAAATCAGTGTGCGACTGAGCGCACACAAATCAGAGGTGATGGTATAACCTCATAATTTGCTCATAATGTCATTTTGTATGAGCTCTTGCAAAATTTATGCACTTGCATTAAAGTTTCATTACATTTTTATTATAATGTAATTGCATTTTGAATTTGTATTTTGTAAAATGCACGTAGAGTTCATGCAGAGCGACGGTTTGTTCTGTAGCGGTCATCTGCCCGGTACTTACCTGATAATAAAATTAATTTGACAAGAACATCAAAATAGAAACGATCTTTTCTTAAAAGAATAAATAAATTATTAATTAATTATACGTGACAGTTTTCATGATTGCCAGTTTGCTTTTTGTGTGTGTCTTTGTTTTGGATTTACTATTTTCCTTTGTTCATATTTTTGTGTTTTGTAAAATAATTCACGAAGGATAAAAACATCATGGTGTGGATTTAAACACATTTTGTAGGGACAATGAATATACAAATAAATAATAAAAACAGTCAGATATTTAGGCCTCGATTGGTCTGCTGAACCTTTTGGTTTTATCACTCAGAATTTTTCAAAAACACAAAATATTCTTGAATATTCCAGACATTTATAAATACTTATACAACATAAAAAAGTGTAAACAGAGACAACCTGAAAAAAATAATTTTTGAGTATACTTACAATCGTTACTTAGCGTCTGATTTCTGAACGTGCTCAATGATCTGGAGTCAGGCGGAAATGCTTTATATTTATCAAACGAAGCTTCTTTTTAAGAAGCGTTGCACCTCCCACAGCAGCGATTGGTCTGGAAACAAAAAAACACACATGATGATCAGAACAGAGTCAGAAAAATGACCTTCGATTGGTCGTTTAAAATGAAGAGGTGAGATCTGTCCACAAACTTTTCCCTGCATCATCTCTCAACTGTGGCTGACAAAAAAGTAAAAAATACAACAAAAGTTAAACTGATTTCTTGGTTATGTTCCCGTATTTATTCAATAATTTCTTCTAGATCTGCTATTTCAGTATATTGAGTATAAAGATGTCAATGTATCACACAACTACAAAATCTGAGTGGTATATTGTCAGAATAAGCCCCGTTATATTGACTCTAAATTGACTTTCCATCTTATTCTTTTTTTTTTATTAATGTAAAGATTTATTAGTGTATCAAAGCCGAAGAGCTCGAACAATCTTCACAAAAATGCTAATTTAGAAAAGTTACTTTTCATAAATAGACAAAATCTGTACAAGAACACAGAAAGCAATGAATGGCTTTAGAATAAATTTTAATTTCTGTATATTTTTGAGAAGAATCAGCAACTGTTATGTGAATTTAGATAGTCGTACAGCGTTTGTACGGGTGGTACCCACATTTTCAAGCCCTACTTATTGCCTGTTTTACTATCCTTAACAAGTTTAAATTAAATTAATGTAGCTTTGTTAACATTTGAAGCTACTCAACAATCGGTCCTTTATCAAATTTGTTCATTTTAAAAGTCCAAAACAAACAAAAAAAAAGACAATGGTACAAAATTTAAAGGAAAAGTTTGGACTTTAATGTAAAAACAAAAGCTGTTAAGTTGCAAAGACAAAATATTCCACTGCCCTTTTGTGCACATTGCAAAAATAAAACACAACCCCCATTCCTTCTGTATAAAAACACCTTGTAGACATCATATGACCTTATAAGCTTTTTTATAAAATAACTCGCTGTCGAATATAATTTGTGTGTATCTGCTCTGTTTGTTCCTCTGTTGAAGCTGCAGCATCAGATAAAACACAGATCCATGGCGCTGATAGCGTCTTTGTCAAAATCAAATATTATAGAACAATTATAATTATTATATTTTTCAGACAAAGTGTAATTCTAAATCCCTCATGTGAGTCATTTGTGGTAAAGAAAGAAAGTCTTGCTAGATTTTAAACCAAAATAAACAAATACACAAATTTTCATTCGTAGGAGTTCCTTTATTAAAAAGCCCGTTGAGCTCTTCCATACAATAAGATGTACATTTTTACAGCATGCTTTTGCCTAAGCTGATTTTTGTCTGTGTTATTTTACAAACAAATGCCAATATTTGTATTAAAAAGAAGAACTGACTTATTTTGAGCAATTATTCCACCAGGTTCATTTTACCTGCAGATGGAGAATTTTGTTTGTTTTTCTGTCTTTAACAATCACCGTTCTGTTAAAAGTTCCTCTTAAGACATTTACAGATGTGCATTTTTTGCAAATTGTCCAGCAAAACCACTTTGAGGAATTTATCAATTTAAACTTTTAAACTCTCAACGCCGGGGTTGTGTAGCGTCACACACCCCGGTTATATTTTCAAGTCCTCAATCAGAAAAAAAACAGTGTTTCATTTCTTTTTCTTTTTCTGTCACTACAATTCAATTCACTTCAATTTATTTATATAGCGTCAAGTCACAACAGAAGTCGTCTCAGGGCATTGAACAGAAACATTCACATGCATTATAAAAGCCAGTTAGAAAATGTTATCAATATGAGAAGGCCAGCAGATTGAGTTGAATCTTCACTTGTCCCAGGCTCCCATCCTGAGCAAGCACATTGGCAACAGTGGAAAGGAAGAACTCCCTTTTAACAGGAAGAAACCTCCAGCAGAACCAGGCTCAGGGCGAGCAGCCATCTGCTTTAACCGGCTGGGTTCGAGAGGACAGGAAGGAGAAACAAACAAACACAGGATGACAAGTCCAGGTGTACTTTCTATAGGAAGAACGACAAAACACATGTTAAAGATAGAAATAATTACAAATATCAGGCGGAGTAGAGCAAATAAAGACAGCAGCAGAGTGAGGAAAAGTAGTTCATTTGTCCTCCAGAAGTCTAATCCTATTACAGCATAACTAAGGGATAGCTCAGGAAACCCAAGCTGACCCTAACTATAGGATTTATCATAAATCACTGCACTTTGCATTAGCTGTTGGATTGTCGAACATCTGTGAAGAAGCTGAACAATCTTTCTCTAACTTTAACTCGTCAAAGTAACGTTTGCATTCAGAAAGCAGAAATTTAGCATTTTCTTGCTGTTTGTCATCTGCACGGAAATAAAACACGACGGCAGCATCGACACAAGCCTGCTGAGCGGAATTAGAATTTGAAATGAAGAAGGCAAAGCTTTTTATCCACTTGGGCCGAACCGTTGCATAATTGAACAGTTTCTGAGACTGCAAATGAATGCTAATGAAACTTGACAACCATCACGAGGTTCTCTTAAACAAAACTCCCTAAAACCCGCTTATTAACACAAACTCCTGAATACGTGGCACAATCTGTAAAGGTTTGAACCCAGGGAAGCAAAATTAAAGAAATACAACAAAATTTTATTTAAAAGCAAAAACTAAAACGCTGGTGTGGCTGCAGAATGTTCCAACTGAGGATGGACACAAGGAAGCATGGGAACACCTGGATATGACATAAATTATATGCAATGCTCCACTGAGAAGTGAATGATGACTGAAAGGCTGTAAGGACTGGGCTGATGAGAGAAGTGGCTGCAGCTGAGACAGGTGAAACAAGAAGGTGTATAAGGGTGTGGCCAGCTGACTGATAAGCAAAAACTGAGTATGGAAACTAAACTCCATAATAAGCAAACATGAAAATAAACCTAAACTAAAAAACACTGATCAGGATAATGGGACAATTTAGAATCAACATTGTAGATTTAGAGGATCAGCGGTAAATAAATACGTTGGCTGTGTTTGTGTTTAAACCCACCACTTCTATTTTCTGTGCCTTTAAATAAAACTCCTCTTCTGCTGACAACTGATGACAGGGATCATTTGGAGGATCGATGTGCTGCAGACACACAGCCGAGGTGGTTTGGAGACAGGAACCACAACAAGGACCAAACAAACAGCTCACACTCGTCTCATGTGCCTCTCTGAGGTTTCTGCGCTCGCCTCTGTGCTGCCTTCATGACGAGTTCACACCTGCTTCTGTTCCTCCTGAGCTCGAAATGAAACGAGCCTTTTATTTCCTCTGCACAACAAAACCTGCAGTTGAAACAATCCTCAGTAAATTCTTTGCAGAGAGAGTTCAGCCCTAAATGTGTTTCAACGGGGCAGTCTTGGCTTTTCTCAGGGCATGCGTTTCTGCCTTTGAGTCGTGATTTTGATGGAAAACACCTGAAAGTGAGGACTCCCTCGTTAGTCACTCACCTAACGAGGGCGTCTGTATCACATCGTGTCATTACTGAAAGACAGAAACGATCAACCGTGAGCCACAAGCACAAAACAGGGGTGATTCACTCTTTTCACATCCATCCCCTGCTTGCTCATCCTCCATTTTCTCCTACAGAGGGTTTCCCTCAGCAATGAATCTGTTTTCTAGTGTGCTTATTTATTTATTTAAAAAGTTTGCTCAGGCTGAAGCACCTGATGTATAAAGTGAACACAGGCAGTTCAGTCTGAGGCCTTTAAAAAAAATAAAAAAAGTTAAAAGTAGAACTTTTTTCAGTTCAATAAAATCCAAAATGTCAGCGGAAACGAGGCTAAGAATCAGAAATGAGTGACATTCAGCTCCGTGACTGAAAACATCTAGTCTGTTACATCACGAGGGGAACTTCATTCAAGCTCTGTTTGAAACCTCAAACAGAAGCTGAGGACAGAAAAGTTTACGCTCTCTCCCACTCATCTCCTCCATCAGCCGTGCACGCTAATGGTTGAGTTATTTTTGGCCTGTAGGCTGCGTGATGATCAGTTCATCAGAATGGAAATATAGATTCTCTGTTACTGTTACAGCCTCTGTAGATAAATACAACGCTGGTTACAGTAAAGAGAGTAAAGGCAGAGGCTGGTCTGCAGTTCATCAACAGATGGAATCAAAACTCTTGTGCAACATTTCTTTTCCTATAAACATACAAGAACAAATACTTTGACTTGTGCTTAAATGACACAAACCCTAAAGTAGAATTTCAGCGCAACAAGTGAAGCGTGATCGCTGAAACAAAGAGGTTGAGCGCAAAGCTACGATCAAAAGATAATTAGTTGACACTAGAAATTTCTGTTTTTGAGCTGTGGCTTCATTTGTCTGTGCGTTAACGTTACATTCGAGAGGAATAATCAGATAAAAACGGAAAATTTGTTTGTGTGCCTAAACGAAAGATTTAAAAAAGGCATACAGTAACCAACACAAGAGTGGAAACAGCTGCTGCTGTAACCAGAAACAGCAGATATCTTTATGTATAAACTATGAAAAAAAAGCAAGATCTGGTCATAGGGTAACCATGGTAACCATGAACCTGAGTCTGTCACTCCCTGACAGCACTCTTAACAAGATAGAAAGTAAAAAAAGTAAAACTTAGACATGCACTGTGTGAATACTGGGGATTAAAAAATAAAAATAAAAAAAAGCTGTGACAGAGGTGCCTGGTCATCATATTAACTTTTATTTTATTTAGGAGATATGGCAACTTGAAAAGAGATGAAGACAAATGTCTCCGATAAAAATGGGAGTCAACGAGAGTTTTGGTTTTACATTTTGTAAGGATTTAAAAGAAAACAGTGTTTTTGCAGAGGTGAGAGATGCACTTTGGGTGAAAGACAAAAATCCCCACATTTTAAAAGTGTGACATTTGTGAGAAGACAAATGGTTTGTTTGTAAAAGTTTTGAAAAGTTTAGACATCTAACACGTTAAATAAAATCTTCAAAAACTATAAAATCTGAACTAGGAGTGTGTAAAACAGATGTTATTATAATGTCCAACTTTCTGTGACCCGTTTAAACTTTGAACGATGGTTTTACAGAGAAGCACGCCTGGAGTATAATGCTCCAAAGAGTGCTGCGTTCACTGACCTGCCACACCAAAATCCTATTGTTCAGTATGTGAATGTTTGTCACAGTTTTTTAATTTATTTGTTTTGTTTTTGCAAATTTCATCCACGTCACAGTCCCAAAAACTGCATCACGCCATTCCCAGTCGTTTTAGTGTATTTTTTGCATGGGTTGTTCAAGGCAAATCAAAAAACAATAGGGGTGCTTGTGCTCTGGCACTCTTAATAATTGGATCAACTGTGGCTGTTCTCTGAAAATGACAAAACGGACGGTCTGCTGCTCACAATTTGCTTTCACACTTTGCATATTATTAATAAAACTGTGACAGCTCAAGGACTCAGCCGAACATCCCCCTCCAGAGACGCGTCCCCTCCAGAGAAAAAGCAATCCTCTCTTGCTCCTGGGCAGAAATCTGCAGGATGGAGCTTTGTTAAAGAGCCATTTCCCGCTAACATCATAACAGGATAAATTTGAGGATGCTCAGATTGTTTAATGCGATCCTGACCAGAAATAGCACAGTGACTGCACACAGCACAGAGGTGGGAGTACCTGAGGGTGAAATAAGTGTTGGGAGAGGGAACCTGTGTGGTGCTATAAACGCCTGTGGATATAACAAAATGACACAACAAGTCTGAGTCTTCAGAGACTTGACACAAAGAGAAATATGTCAGAATTATAACAACAAACTGACATAATTTGCTAAAAGAAGAAGAAAGGAGCTGAAGTCTCACACCAACTAAACGTGTCGCCTTTATTTTGATTTCAAAACTTTTGGAGAACTTTAAAGAAAACTGTAGCACAGCAAATCCCTCCGGCACATTACACACTGAAGCAACCTGTCATTTAAATCAGACGGAGAACCGAAGCACGAAAAGCACTCCTCTTGTCTTGGATTTGTTCAGTTTAGTCAACGTAAACCGTTGCTTCTTCATGTTGACGTTAAAGGAAACACCGCACGGTTAATGCAGGAGATATAATTTAAACCAAATTCGTATTTAGGTGATACTGCGCAGCGAGGATCCCACCTCTGCTCCGTATTTGTCTGAAAACACACGGTGCTTCAGTGAAAAACTAAAAAGCGCAAAGTTGTGACTAAGTTGATGTTATTGACGAATTCAGTTGTTTGTGATGTTAATTTACCGTACTTTCCGCCATACACGTCGCACCGCCATATAAGTCGCATCAGTCCAAATATGTTTAATGAAGTGGAAAAAAAACATAAATAAGTCACTTTGCCGTATAAGTCACATCTATTATCATGTCACTGCTGATGCGTCGCGTTTGTTATGCGTCACTGCTGACCACTCTGAAACAGGGGCCGGTTTTGTTTAAAAATCAAATGGTGGCCGCGGGAGCGTGCACGGGAGGACTTTAACAAGAATTTAACAAGATTAACACTTAAAAACAATTATTTGTTTGCTCTAAATTATAGCAAAGGTGCGTCTCCGTTTAACTTGTCCTTAATAAATGCACTTTGACGGTCAGCTGCATTCCAAAAATCAATTTGCAGCTGAAGGAGTGTGCTGAAGGAGGACTTGCTGGGCATTTCTTCGAAATTGAACAAAATAACCACCTAAGAACAATTATTTGTTTGCTCAACGTTATAGTAAAGGTGTGTCTCAGTTGAAATTTTCCTTAATAAATGCACTTTAATGGTCAAATCAGCTGCATTTCGCCTGGGCGGGGCGGTGAAATGCAGCTGATTTGATGTTTGTTCCAGGAGTTCCGGAGTGAGACAAAGGTGGCTCAGTATGGCAAGCCAAGTGTCTCATTAATAGCCACTTTTACCTATTAATGAGGCACTTGGCTTGCCATATTTTTTGAGCGCCCTCTAGCGGCAGAAAATGGTAGTGTTCAATGTTTTCCTTGTCAGAATGAATGAAATTGTTGGATCTCATCCAAAAATTGGGTTATAAATATGGGGAAAAACATAAATAAATCACAGGGCATGCAAATGTATGCAAAAAGGTGTGACTTATATGGTGAAAAGTATGGTACTGTGGAAAAACTGCTCCACTTCCACAGCGCCTACATCGTACATGCAACGATTTACTGTTTGTGCATAAAATACTCTAGAACATCAAGAGTGAAACTCGGTTACAAACAGGGGCCAAAATGAAAATCTTTTTCAAACAAATGGCCAATTTCAGTCAACACATTAACAATCGCCAGATTACCTGACATCCTTTCTTGGTTGCAGCTTCCTCAGCAACAATTTTCATCGGCCTTATTTGAAGTTCTCCGTTGCTCTTTCCGCATCAAAATTAAAGATTGCTGAAAATTTTAAACTTAATTTTCTCGGCTTCAGAGTTGTCCAACTGTCATGAGAGGTTTGCACTAAATAAACTATGCAGTTTTTAAGGTAAATGAGAAGCAATAAAAAAAAAGTTACTCTTAAAATCTCATCTTGGAGACCAGAAAATATGTTCACATGGGCCGTATTTGGCCCACGGGCCTTGAGTTTGACACATGTGCTGTAACTCTTCCAGATATATAATTTTATTATTAAAAAAAATATGCTAATTAGATTAAATTTATTAAGTCGTGTCAGCTGAAAGGACTGCTTAGAAACGTTAAATGCTACTGGGACATTAATTTGTCTTTATAAACAAATGTTTTTATTTTCTTTTGTCATTAAACATTTTTATAATGTAAACATTTGGCGTGTTCTTTAAATTAAATATATTTTAAGATCAACTTTATACCAAAACAACTGTAGGTTAGAAGATATCTCATGCATGGCGTTGCTGCCTTTGGATTGAAATTCTGTAACTGATCGTTATTTTCACTTTGATTTAGAAAATAAGTTTCTGTGTTCAACACATAAATGTGCCCTTAATCAACAATTTAACATTATTAACAATTAACTATTTAACATAATTGTTTTTTCCAAAGCCAGTTGGAGCCATCACTAAAAATCTTTAAAATGTATGACAACAAATCCCTAAATTAACACAAAAAGAAGAAAGTATAACTTTTATAGACATTTGTTTTTTGGAGTAGCCTATAGCTTAAATGTAAATTGAAAAAGTATGTTCACAGAAAAATGTCACGTTATGCAGTTTTTGCTTTTACATCTGGGTATTTCCTCACATTTAATAAAGATATAAACCAGTTAAAGTGGTTTTGAAGGTGAGAACACCAAAAGTTTGAGTTTAAAACATGAAAATTCATCATTTTAACAGGATTTTTTAATGTAACTTAAAATACAGATGCAAAGGTTTACAGGTTTAGTTGAAATGCACATCTTTAATTATCATCATCCATATTTTGATCCTCTTATACACAATTTTAGAAGTCATAAATCATCATTTTTGAAGGAACACCTGATCACAATCTGCAGGTTTCTTAACCGTGGACTCGTGAGCTCTCCTGCTGTCAGGATTGACTCCTACATGGGCCTGAAGCTACACATGAGAGAAGTTTACAAGGAGAGAAATCACCTCAAGCAGGATGACTTTACGCAGACAGATCGTCAAAAGACAGTAGTTTAAAATGTTTAAACCTCTGGCAGTGGTTCAGTTTGCACCTGCAGCTGCAGCACAGCTCAGTAAACTGACTCCCGCTGCTCTGAAAACTCACTTTTCAACATTTTGATTGCAGCGCTGCTGCTCTGCACTCAACACAACGTGACACTAAACCGTGTTAGAGTTCTCCACACTGCAGAGCTCTGAGATGACTCTTGTTAAAAAAAAAAAAAAAGTGTTTGGCTTGAGCACAAAAAATAACATTTGTTGATCTGATTTGGCTCCTGATGCTTTGTGCTGATGGAAAGACAACTTGAATGGAAACACACAGCCTCATGAATTTCAGTTTCGCTTTGAGTGACTGCATGTGTGTTCATTTGTGTGAGAGAATGAAAAACAAACTGAGTAATGCAGATAATTATGAACATATGAAAAGGGAATCCTATTGTCTCATGTGAAAAACACCCCCAGTGAACAGAGTTATATTCTCACAACAGGGAAACAGTTTGGTAATCACCTCCGGAGAACAAAAAAGCACACATTAAGCCTTGAAAGTCGATATGAATGTTGGCAGGAGCGATGACATGCTGCTCCCAATCAACTCCAGGAGTTAGAAAAGAAAAAACGTAATGACTTCTTTCTTTATAATAACCCAGAACTAAAGTTGGGGCACTTTATTTTTAGCTTTGGTTTCCTGCAGAAGTAAAACAGTAACTGTTGCATTTTTGAGTGAGCAGCAAAACAACAAATCAACAGTGATTTGGGACAAAAGAGCAGGCCGTCGACTGTGAACACGCTCCAGACAGACATGGGAACATTATTTATGAGCCAAGTCACTCATCCAAACTTAATCCCTGCGACTGAAGCTCTGAAATAACTCGAACAAGAAGCTTCAGTGAAACACAGAAGTGGTGGAGCATCACCAAATCAGAAAGGAGAACTGATATCAGAGGACCGCAGGCCTCAGACTTACATTTATATATAAAACACCATTCTGGGCGTAAATTATTTATTAAAATGTGTTTAAAAAAACTGATTTAAAAAAGTTCAGAGCTCTAAAGTGAATATGTATTTAAAAAACGGCCTTATTTAAAGTTATCAAGTATAGCGATACCTTTATACTCAGACTGCCGAGGTATTTTACTAACACAAAGCACGTTGTGATAGACCACAATCGAGACATTTATTTTAAAAAAAATTGACCTTATAAAAAGAGTTTAGTTATATATTACCTTTTCTCACAAAAAGCAAATATTGCCTAGCATGTGCCTTAATATTCATGTTATTTATACGTTTTTAGTTTATTCTTTAACTTTTGTACCACCAGCCTGCCAGCGACTGATGATGTCAGTTGTATTTTTCCACGATGTGATCACGTTGATTAATGCGCATCATCGTGTTTGAATTAAATGAGCTTTATTAGGCTGAGAGTTCAGTGTTCAGAACAAATAATCTGCGAGCAATCAGTGCATTAAATGAAAAAGTTGCATATTTTACTGCTAGCCTCAGCCGATACAGTGGTATCCATATTAGATCAGATACTCTGCTCTGCACTTCATCTTGAAAAGTTTTAATTTTGCATGATATTGAATTTGCCCTCCTGCATTCATGCGAGTCAACCATGTTTTTAGAATAAAAATGTGGTATAGGAGCTCCAAATGTTCAGCACTTAGGATCAAAGGACAAAAAAAGAATAAAAAGTTTCCCCCCCAGAATAACTATAGCGACATATCTGTCCACGTCCTTAAAAAGTAAAAACATGAGGCAGAATACTGTGATAAAATGTCCGTGTCTCAACTTTAACTTCTGGGTTTCTCAAACTCAGAACTATAAGATACATCTATAATAAAAGCAGCAAATATAAATAGATGAAGAGGTCCAGTTTTAACAGCTGATATCATTTTTTACTGGATGGTTATGATGATGTGGCACTGTTTACAGTTGAAAATGAGTGTTTTAAACTCACATTTCCCACTGGAAACCAAGTCTGACCTTATTTTAACATCCACACCCGCCATTTCACAAACACAGTACTATTGTTTCACCTTTAAAAACCAATACGTGAGCAGCACAAGCTGTTTATTAAATATAAACATGTTCATATTTTGAGGCCAGCTTTGTTTTAGAGCTCTGAAACGACATCACGACACCCGACCAGCTCGTGGTCACATAATAGTGAATTAATTGGACTCGTGAGGTTTAATCACAAATGTTAACACTGTGCTTCTTCTAATTATAGGAAGCCCATGTATGCTAGACATATAAATATTGAATACTTCCCATGAATAAAACAACTTGGTTGCTCATGCAGTTTGTTTGTTCCTCTGCTCTTTTGTGTTCAACTACAGAGCGACTTCTTGTGTCTAAACTTTGGCACTAAACTCCCAAGTTTCACGTCTGAATGGGTGAGTATCACGTCATATGCTGCTTGCCACAGAAAGCATCTGAACTGAGCCGGGCACTGATGTGTTTCTGTTCAAAGAACATTAAATCTGTGTATTTATAATTTACGCTGGGCGCGTTTTGTTCAGTCGATCATCGCTCTAACATTCAATCATGAAACTTCAGAGTTCACCATGAAGCACTTTAGTCACACTCTCACTAAAGTTGTATAAATGTGAGAACGTCGTTCATATTTTGAAACGCATAAACAAAAAGCCTGATAAATATTTCTCTTTTATGCCTTTTTTCACATCAACCCAACATGAGGCAGCAAAACACACTCATTGCAACTCACTCCTTAAAATAAAAGAAATCGTTTTCCGCCACTTACTCATGTCTTTTCTACTTTTTGAGGTAAGTTTCTTAAAGCTAGACTCGGACAAATATATTTAATGTCTTTGGCCTTTGAAACATTACTGGCTGAAGTAATATGGTTACATAATTACAGCAGCAGCTAATGCTAAAAGTTACCAGCAACACCTTCAACTGTTTCAGTTTCTTGATTACTTTTATTTCCCAGTTTTATTTTTGCCAACCTTGCTTAGTTTTTGCTTTTATTTCCCTAAACCTTTTGCCAAATGTGCCTCTTTTTACTTGTTTTTCCCTAAAAATTGTACTAAACTTGCACACATTTTGTTTGTGTTCTGCTTGAAAAGGATCATCACACAGTTAGAACCAGTTAAACGACTGCAAAATATGTATTTCTGCTGCACAAATTCAGATTTTTAACATTAAGAAGGCAGCTGTTTTAGACATTTCTGATGCAACGTTTTAAAATCACCCCAGGGTTGTCATTAATGTATACATCATATAGTCTGGGAGAAGTCCCACAAGGAGTCAACGTTACCGATCAAGACTCTGCTTGTGTTTTTCAGTCTTTCGGCTGTAAATCATTCAGTGTTGCTAAAATTGATCCAATTAACTGACTTCTTTTGTGGTGGTGGTGCAGCTAAACACATTAAACATTTACTGCAGTTGATTGACTGACGGCAGCTCATTATTCTTCTTCCAGGAGATATCTGGTGTCGGTTTCTAGAATAAAATACCACAGCAAAGACCCAGTCATGTCCAAGACGAATCAATCTGATAAAATAAAAGCTCAAATGTGGCCGATGTTCAGGCCAAATTAAGAGTCTTACACCTGAGGGTGTTTTGCCTTGAGAGTCGATTACTCGTCGTGTCTGACTTCACGTCTTCGACTTAATGTTATCTTAATTTTTGTATTTTCAGTCTGCAGGACAACCCTTCACACCAGCTTCTGCAAAGTAGTACATAACACCTACAGAATATTTAGAAGTACTCACATGTTGATGTTCTCAGTAGAGCAATGAGTTCAGCTTTGACATTCAGCAGGCTGTGTGTACTGACGCCGTCTCTTTCATACACACTGACACACACACAGGAAGTCAGACATCACTACGATCCCATCCTTTTTCTTTGATTTCTTCTCTGAATTGCTTAGCTAGGGAATAAAGTCGTGCACAGACGAAACCCTAAAAGAAACATGCACTTCAACAGGATTGTTCTTTTAACTCATTTATGATATTTTCTTTACACTCTTAAATGCTCAAAATTTTATGTGGGCCACTGGTGGGGCTGTGTTCACAGGTGTTTAGTGTGTTTCTCTGCTGTGGGGTCAACAGCTGTTGTACTGCACCAGTTGTGGAGCGTAAGAACCAACACAGACACAATAAAGCATCTTAAAGCAAAACAGGGTAAAGGCAACGTTTTATGTTTTGACAAAATTATTGATTCTTACTGCTTTACATTTTCTAAACAGGCCTGCATGTAAGAACCAATTTTAACAATTTAACGCAGATTAGTTATTATCCGTTCTATAAGCAGATTGACTCAGCTGGTGGAACTGGCCCTCAACATCTGTCAGATTGGCACTGGGTTGTAGTGGACGTCTGAGCTGAACCCAAATGTTACAGACTGAAGAAAGATACGGGGACCTTAGTATGACACGGGCAATCCACGGACGTGTCTTGGCAGGTGTTGTCTCAGTAGGGGTAAGACAGATGCAGGATGTCACTGATGTACTTTGTAGCTCCGTACCATCAAGTACTGGTACTGTATTATACCAAAGATGACCTGAAGTCAGGCCAGATACCCAGATATTGAAAATTAGTGCAGCATGAGACAGAGTTGTAGAGTCCAACTCCTGTGTGAGGATGGCAGACATAGACAACATGTTTTGTAATACTTGGTGCACAATATGATGAACTTCTCTTACTGTAGTCCGTCTTGGGTGACCAGAACCTTCATGCTTGTATTTCCAACATGAAGCCACTGTGAGATTTTTATGCCACAAATACAGAACCAGTGCATACGACCACCAATCATCCTCTCTACCTGCTTTTTTGTGCAGGGTCACGGGAAGCTTGGAGCCCACCTCCAGCGATCACTGAGAGGCAGAGGACAGCCAGGACAGGTCACCAGTCCATCACATATGAGCAGCCGTCTTCATGCAAACCCACAATGTGACCTGTTACTATCTCCATCAAGTGATGGTCAATGCAACTGCAAGGTATCCCAACTAGACATTTTCAATATCAAACACACCAGCAACTGCCTGATAACACTATCACTCCACTTGTGATGCCACCACTCATGCCCTCTGGTTTCCACTCTAGAAATGCATACCACAGTGCATCCAAATTCCTCTAGGTGCACACTGTGATTCTCTCAGTGATGGAGAGACGTCCCTAAAATTGTCCAGTATACGTTTGATTTGATAATAGAAGAGCGGATAAAAGACTCAAAAACAAACAACTTGAAAACTAATATTTTTATTTACAACCAGCAAAAATTGGGGGGGAAAAAAGTATTAGGAAAAGTCAAACAAAGGGTTCAAAACTGCATAAATGTAAAAAACAACATGTACAGAAGCTGAAACTGAAAGAGATGGTTTAGGTCAAGAACAGGAGTAAGTGAGGTGAGTCAGGGCTGGGTGGTGGGAAACATATGGAAGACAAATAGGAAGTGGTAACATAAAAGTCAAGCCTTTAGGAGGTAATTGTGACAGATTCATACAGTATTTAGTAACAAAGCTCAAAGTGCCCACAGCATTAGATTTGATTATATTTTCACCCAGAACATTCAAAAAGCTCATTTACATTCATGCCACATTCACTCTGGTGCTCTCTTTGCCTTCTTTATGTTATCTCCCTTGCTATCTCTCTCCATTTTCTCTTTCAGTATCTCTCCTTCCTCCTCTTTCATGTCACTCCTTCAGCAGGGGCTGAAGCGGCAAGGCTGGTGGCTTCTCTCTCCGGCGTCCTTGCCACGGTTTGGGTGCAGCTGTTTGGCTGTGATAAAGGAAGCAAAGAGGAGAAGTTTTCACACTAATTACAACACAATAATGAAGTGCTCAGTAAAAGGCGCAGAGAAAACGAAGGTTAAACTGTCATTTGTGTAAAGAGAGCCGAGTCTATTAGAAAGCATCTGTGAAATGAAAGATTATTGGAGAGAAGTGCGCTTTAATGGACGGAGGCGCGTTAAAACATTTACCGTGCACACTGGCAGTACTTCTTGGGTTTTAACAGCATGGCCTGCTTCATCTTCAGTCTTCTCTATGAAAATAAAAATAAAAATCAGAAAAAAATGCAACATTATACTTTTGATTTTGCTCAGGAAATTGTTTTATTTCACCTTCACGTTTTATTTCTTAAGGCAGCAAATAATAATTAGCCGATTCATTTACTTTCTTTTTTCTGATCCTCATCACTGTGAAAATGACGACGACGATCAGGATGATCACCAGCAGGCTGCCAACTCCGAACGCAACCCACACCCACCAGATGAGGCCCAGCAGCATCAGTTCACCAGCCTCTGCAGGTGGACGGTAGGTGCCACCTAGTCCAGGAAACAACAGGGATTAAAATGAGTGAAAGACCACTTTGTGTGAAATGTAAGAGTTGAACAAATAATACACACAATTATTGCAAGTGGAACTGTTGTCATCCTTTGAATTAGGAGAGTCTGGTTGTTCGGGATGGTTTGGTGATGGTGTACTTGATTTAGGAGCTGAAAAACAAAGCAACCTTAATTTTGGCCAGGTGGGTCGATTTTGTTGCGACACAAAGATGCACAAGAAGTTGCACCTGAAGCTCCGTACCTGTTACAGTGATACTCAGAGTTTTGCTGAATTGATCCTCATTATTCACCACGCGACAATGCCAGTTCCCTCCATGCGACATATCTACAGGGTTGAGATGAACTATGTTTGAGCTCTCCACTGAACCATCGGGCTTCTGCCACTCAACTCTCAAGGTTTGGTCCAGTTCTTTCACCCGACACTGCAGAGTGGCTGTAGAGCCCACCTGGAGACTGTTGTGGGGATCGACCGAGACTGGCAGAGATGAGGAAGAAGATGGAGTGAAAATCACAAAGAGCGGAGAACCTGTGCTCAATAACAGTACATGACATGCCCTGACAGGACTCCATGATTGAAATGGTCTAAATGATGGAGTGAAAGATCAGAGTTTTTAGAAAGATTAAATCATAACATTCAGGTCAGATTAAGCAGCATGTGACAGACTTGTTCTGTTTGTGAAGGCAAGTGTTTATCAGGGGTTTGACCATCTGCAAAAATAAAAATTAATTTTAACTTTCATTGTTCAATACTGAAGCTAAAATGCTCACTTTTGTTGCGAGCTGCCATATTGTATTTTTGGAGCCAGAGTCTGTGCACTAGCAACATGCAAATGTTTGGTTGATACAAAAATCCCGTCGACACACCCTCCCAACTCGTTACAGGCCATTACTGTCATGACATTTTTCTTAAAGCTGAATGAATAAACAAAATGAATGAATAAACAAAAATCATCATGTGAAAACAAATTCTCTTAAATGTACTTTTATATTTTGGTCTAAATGAAGGGGCGGGACTTGAACACTGTCCTGCAGTCAAATAGTCACTCATGTTTTACGTCTTCAACTTCCATCTTCCAGTCCTGTGTCTAGTTATAATTAGGAGCGTTTAACAGACATAGAAATTGTTATTGCATTGTTGAATTTTGGGAAATGTGTGCTTTTTTGGCATCTTAAATTTTATTTTTGCAGTGTCTTGATTTTCATGAAAGTGCAACAATGACAACCATTACAGCTGTTTGTAAAACCGTAGTTAACATGTACCATACCATACCATACCAATTTATTTATATAGCACTTAAAACAGCAACAAGGCCAACCAAAGTGCTGTACAAAAGAAACAAACATGCACAGCAGACAGGAAAACATAAAATAGAAATACAGATAAATAGCAGCAGAAGCTAACTAAAATGGCCAACAGAGTAGAGAACAGACCGGACCAAAACAAATCACACCGTGTTAAAGGCAAGCGAATAGAATGTAGGTTCATAATCCAGGTAAAACATCCAACAATGTTCAAGGTCATCTGGACAGTTGAGCATGAACCTTGATGTCTTGAACCACTTTGGCTATGGCAGCTTGGGAGGAGTCGATGGGGGATAGGGCAGCCCCCAGAAGCCATCTTATCACCAGCAAACTGGTTGGTCCACTGTAGGAGTATACTGCTTAGTGGGGAAACAGTTTGGGATTTCTCAGACTGATGAAGCCCTTTGGATGGAGGGTGAAACGTCAACAACAACAAAAAAAAGCAACTGTCCAGATGAGCTGATTGAACACTGTTGGAAGTAATTAACAGGATTACTTTAAAAATGTTATCTTTGATGCAGATGTTTTCCATTAAGGTTACGATCTCCTAATTACAATAAATATGTTGCGTTTTTAGGATTTCATCCAACGTACTCTTTGTGAAACAAACTGAATGCGTGTTGTTTAATCTTTGCGACTCACCTGACACCACAGTAAGTGCTTGTTCAGAAGATCTTCCATCTGTTTTGCAAGTGAACTTTCCAGCATCTCTTTCTTCCACGTTGAAGATAACCAGATCTTTGTCTCCTATTAACCTCGACTTATCTTTAATGTGACTCTTACCTAATGCAGAATATACAGAATGCATTATACCACAATAAAGACAATAAAAAAATAGTTTTTAATGTTGTGCATACCTTTGGAGGGGGTACCGCTTTTTAAATCAACTCTAATAATCAGGTCACTTCCATGACTCCACTCCACTCTTCTCTCTAACCTATCAACGCCACACTTTAAGGTGATTTTCTGCCCAACTTCTGTGATGACAGAGTTTCCTGTTGCAAAGAGTTCAGCGAGCACTGTAGAATAAAACATGCCTTAATTAGGCCTCAGAATCTCAGCTATATAAGAAACATATCCGACAGTCAGTGTGAAGTTATTTGGCATGAGCACGACACAAACCACATTTGTCTTTTGTTAATTCTTCATAGTTTCAAAGATTTTAACCTCAAGGGTATAAAACTTAATGATCAATTAAGATTTTATTGTTTTTAGAAACAAACTTACCAAACCCAAAGCAGATGATTGTCTTCATTCTAAATGTTGGATCTGAGAAATAAAAAACACAAATAAAGATTTTTAGCACAACTAAATCTTAAAAGAGCACAAATGCAGTTCATAGTGCGAACGAGCATCCATCTTAGTAACGCCACACGATGCTTCTGTTTGAGAGCGCTTTACCAAAAAACATGTGATCCCTAACCACCAAGCTCCTTCTCTACTTCCTTCCTTTCTCTGCTTTATGCATTAAAAAAGAAAAAGTTGCCTACAAAATCTTGCCGGATAGATTTATAACGCTGGAACAAATTAATGACGAAGCAAATGTTTTAAATTGCCTTGATGCTTCCGCCACAGATGCTGCGGTTTCATACAATTGTTCATCTAAAAGAAGTTAACTCAAAGTTTATTAAATACTTTGTTTACAAAAACCATCATGAAAATGTTTTTTCCTCATTTCAATGTAAATTATTTGATTTTAAAATGTTTTAAGAGTTTTCAGATAGCTGAAATACCATTCAAATACATTCCTTTCATGATTTTGTTAGTTTAAAAGTAACAAACTGTTCATTTTATATTCATCAGTCTTTATACACTTATAATTATTAAGATTGCTTGAAGATGAAGAACTGCGCGTACATTCAGCACATCATACTGCACCAGATAATTAAAGAAAACAAAATTTAATCCAATAAATTCAAGCTAAAGTGACACTTTTGCCTAAAAATAAAATAAACACATTTAGCATAATCTCTACATTTTTTTTATTTAAACAAATTTCCAGATATAATAAAACATTAACATTTTAAATTAAATTGGAAAATAAAATATGTGGAACAGATCAAAACTATTGGTTCCTTTATATAAAACGAATGTTCAACATTAAGAGTTTAGGTTAAGATCTTACCTTTATTTTACGTCAAAATGGGAACTTTTGTGCCATTCGCGAAGGCAAGTCTCTCATCTTCTCAGTACTTCTTGGCATTGAAAGCTGCATGTGCAAGGATGCAAAAAACTGAAGAAAGCGGAAGAGACTTGAAGAGAAACGAGCACTTGGGAAAGTTGTAGGCCAAAGTAAACCCCAGCTCTGTGTGGGTTTGCTGCTTGTGCCTGTTTTCATGCAATCGAGGACGTTCTGTAAACAAGAGCTCACAGAGGTTCTGCACAGAGAATTTAAAATACAGTCGGACAAAACCGCACATATTAGGTATGAAATCAGAAAAACAAAACGTACTGACAGAGTAATCTTTATTTATCACAGCAGAAGTAACAAAGCATTTGTCCTCCAAATAAAAAACAAAATGTCACCCCAGTATCACCCTCACCAAGCTTTTTAGAAAAACATGTTGGTGTTTTTTATTTTTTTAATGTTTTTATCTTGGGATGGGTGTTGAACTGATTTCACTTCCGTGCTCAAACAGGTAGAGGAGGCTGAGTCGGGTTAAAGTGGTGACACCAAGCTGCAACTATCCGGTAAAACCACAGGCGCCTGGAAGCAACATATGTGAACATATAGGGGCAGTGACTACTGGTGGCAGTCGGGGATGGATTAGCGTAAACATATCAATTAGGAGTGAATGAACTTTTCCTTGTTTGTGTGTTCGGGGGTGTTCCCTGAAGCAGGCTGAATGCATTTTCTGAGTACCACCTGGATCACATGCTCTAAGGGTCCACAGGTAAAAACCTGAATAAACCAGTCCTGTGGTTTAAACCATCCGAACACCCCCCACAACCCCCAAACACCTTTCTCTGTACATTTACCCCATTTATTTAACTGTGTTCAGGCAATCTGGGAGATTTATTTACAGTTTTGTCAGTTGTGAAGCAGGTCAGGGCGTTTGTAAGAGCTTGCTGTCATGAGTTTGTTGGCACCCCCCCACCACCACCACACCCCTCTGTCTCATTCAGCCACTCTGCGATAGAAGTAAAGGTATCCCAGATCTTTGGGAGGCTTCTCTGAAGCGCAGACCTTCTGATCGTTGAAGATCACCCACCTGTAAAACACAAAAAGATACAACTTTTTAAAAATGCGATCCGTGATTGAATCTCTTAAAACAGACGGATCTTCACAAAGGACACGAGGGCAAATCTTTTTTCACATAAAATTTGAAACTAAACATTTGTGTGTGTGTGCTTGGGTAGATAACACTTAAAATTTTGACAAATTATTTTACATCCATAATGTGAATCTGTTGGGAGTCTGGTGCCCCCTGCTGTAGCACTTTAACACCATCAGACTGTATATTTGATTTACGCTGCTCTTATAAATCAGTGATCAGCTAGAACCAACAACACTGTCAGATATGGGCCCTTTGTACGTTTTTCAGTAATTTAGCAGCTGCATTTGACTTTAAAACACATGTTGACACTTAAAACTGAATAATTGTGTCACGTCAAGCACTTACTGCTGGTCCTTCTTGATGTGACAAACGTAGTGGCCACACATGGTGCTGGTTCCCATGTGACTGATGAACGCAAACAGCTCGTATTCTGGATAAAGAAGAGAATCATACGTCAGTTGTGATGTTATGAGAAAAAAACAACACAAAATTATAGAAATATGTTAAAAGTCTAATATCCTGCTTCACAAGCTAACAGTGAGGACACTCTGACATGAGAGATGGTTTCTGAACTCACTGCCTGGTCCGTCTCGGACTCGAGGCCCAGGCGGAGGATCCCTGCCTCCCTCGCTCTCTGCAGCCGAGCGGCCGCCTTCAGACACGTCCATGGACTCCAGATCATCCAGGTGAGAGAAGATCCAGTCCACTGCACGGTCCAGAACGTTACTCTGTGGCAGAGGCATGGCAATTTAAAAAAAATACTCAAAAATATATATGTATATAAATACTTTTTGTGGAGTCCCTTGTACATGCTGGGTATTTTTATTATTTTACAAGTTAAGAGGGTCAAAAATCTTTTTAAAACCTAAAAAAGAAAATAAAATAAAAAAAAAATAAATAAAACATTAGGAATACTGAAAATGCATTTGCAAAGTACATAACTTTCACCGTTCATCTACAGAAAACATTGTTTAAGCGCTGTTTTATCTTCTAGTCTGGTTGTCCTTAACTATTCTTCTTAGAGACTATTTCATACAGTTTTGTCAAGTTGTTTTGTTTTGACTTGCAGCTCTGCAACAATTACCTTGTTGATATAAAAATATAATTTTATGCCTGTCAAACTGAATTATCTTTGGTATTTTTCATAGATGCCTCTGAGAGAAAATAAATTGTGCTTGCTACAAGCTGTTACATAAAAACACAATTTAAAGTAGGTCCTGTGCCAAGATGCTTGTTAAAAGTAGACAAAACACCAGTTCTTCTGTTAAGGTTTTTGGGGTTTTTTTCCAATCCCTGAATAATTTATAGGTCATTGTTATTAAGTTTAGCAAAAAAAAAGTGTCTGAAAATGGTCAGGAATGGGTTATGGACAGAAAATGCATCAAAAAATAATCTGAAAAACAATTTCTCAAAATCACTTTAAAAGTTCACAAGCTATTCTGATTCGTAGGAAGCAAAAAACGACAGATAAAAGGTACTACCGTACAATAAAATTATTTTCCTACATGCTGAATAAAAAATCTGCAAGAACTAGAAAAACGTGGCAATACTCGAAGTCTCCTTTCTAACTCGACTGAGTTTGATCCTGACCGTTGCTCGGAGTGCTTTGGTTGCCTGATCTCGACTGAAGCCCATGGACACGATTGTCGCCAGGTGCTCCTCAGACAGGCTCTCTGTGGGAGTGGTTCCGGGTCCAGAGCTGCCGCCCGGCAACACCAAGGGAGCCGAAAAGTCTGCAACAACCATAAGAGGATGAGAACAGGAAAACCAACAGGAGTGATCAGTTGGAATGATGTCTGGTTAATTCCTGTTGTCCACACACACCTGGATCATCCATGTGACTCATGATCCAGTTCATGGCAGCATCAATTCCAGTGTTTCCAGTGTAATACACTGCTTTCCTGCAGGCCTCCAGTGGGAATCCCATTTCACACAACTGGGACACAGTAGAGTCATCAAGGACTGGAGCTGAGAGTGAAATGAAATCCTTGAATTAGTTGGATGTATAGAAATGATTTAAAGTAAATTGCAGGTTCTTTTTTTTTGTCTATTCTCATAATAAAAACAATTGAATAATTTTAAAGAAATGTAAAAATCATATATAATAATTTGAACTCCAACAACATCAATTCATGAGGGTATTTTTTCTTTGAAATGCAGGTCAAATCAGATCATAAAATAAATAAGAAACCAATAAAGGAATGGACGAACTCATGGAAATAAAAAAAGGTGGAAAAAGAAAAGAAGGAAACAGAAGTGGACAAAAACATGACGGAGGAGGCCAAAGAGCAGAAAAGACAGACTGACACAGCAGTGGAGAGTACAGCGAGTCGTCCTCATCGTTGCCATGGAAACCCAGGATACCTTTAACCTCCACATCTGGGGTCATGAGTGGGGGCGGGGCCACCTCTGGGAGAAGCTCCTCCCCTGGCTGCTGACCGGTGGCACGCAGCGCGCTCAGATCCAGAGTATCAGGAACGTCGATGCTCACATCTGTCCAAACAAAAATCAGTCAGGTTTTAAAACGGTTTCTTTTTTCAAATAATTTGTAACCCCACTACGATCAAGACGTAATGGGACATATTTTTGTCATTTTCTTCAGGTAGCTGACATTATTCCTCAACAAGATTTCCAAAATGGTGTCCGACATTAAACTAAAGGACAGGAACTGAGACGCCTAATAAATTTGTTGAGGAACATAATCAGAAGAAACTCCAGCACATGAAAAGAAACAGAAAATGTAACTTTTATAAAGATTAGAACATAAAAATGATAACCAAAGAAATGCAAATTAAGTTCAAATTCTGTAAGCAACAATCTGAAACAACTGTTTGCACCGAAATAAAACTGGGAAACAAACTAACTGGTACTGAGGTTTGGTTTCTACAGGCTTGAAACTGAACAGATCAACAAGCGATCTCAATCTGAATGAAATTAAAAAATGAAAAACAGAAAAGTAAAGTACATGACAAGAATCCATGCTGCAAAGAAAGAAGAACAGTCGACTGCTGCAGAACTGCTGATCGAATTAAAAACCGTGTTGTTTTTTTATTAGTCTATGATTCAAAAACAAGATTTCAAGCTATAATGAAAAACAGGAGCGGTGCAACATTGTTCTAATTAAGATTTATTCTTACAAGACAATTATAAATTGTCTGTCTTATAAATCAAACAAAAATATCAACTATTATTTTTACGCAGCACGGTGGCTCAGTTAGTAGAGCTGTTGCCTCTCAATGAGAAGGTTGCTGGACGAAATTCCAGCCGGGGGTCTTTCTGGGTGGAGTTTGCATGTTCTCCCGTGCATGCGTGGATTTTCTCCAGGTACTCCAGTTTCCTCCCACAGACCAAAAACATGCATGTTAGACTGATTGGTAACTCTAAATTGTCCCTAGGTGTGAGTGAGAGAGTGAATGGTTGTTTGTCTCTGTGTGGCCATGTGATTTATTTATTTATTAACTTTTATTTAACCAAGCAAATCCCATTGAGATCACGGATCTCACTGGAGACCTGTCCAGGGTGTACCCCGCCTCTCACACAGTGACAGCTGGATATGGGCACCAGTGACCCCCCACGACCCAAAAAGGAAGAAGCAGGTAAAGGTAATGAACGCATGAATACATGCATGAATGGATGGAACTATTTTCCGCTCAATATGTTTCAAACAGCCAGAATGTTCATTCCTATTCATCCATTTTCTTTACCTGCTTTTTTCCTTTCCAGGTGAGCTGGTGCCCATATCCAGCAATCGCTGTATGAGGCGGGGGACACCCTGGACAGGATGCAAGTCCATCACAGGGACACAGAGACAAGACAAACAACCATTCATGCTTTTACTCACACTTATGGACAATTTAGAGTTATCAATTAGCCTAACATTAATATTAATGTTTTTGGTCTATGGGAGCAAAACCAAAGCACCTGCTGAAAACCCACATGTACCAGTACATGGAGTGAACATTTAAATGCCACCCAGAAAGTAACCTTCACTCTGAGAGGTGACAAAGCTAACCGCTGTTCCACCATGAGGCCTCAGACCGTTCATATTAAGATATTTATGTAGTAAATTTTGTCATTTTGATCTGGCTTGTAAACAAGCTAATTTTGTTTTTAGTTTTGAAAACATTTTTATTATATCAGTGGGAATTCCAGCCCTATGTTTAATATCGCAGAGCTTTACCATGATGTCAAAGACTATACAAAGGGATTTCCAGATGGCATGATAACTGGTAGAGACAAATAATCAATTTCTAAGAAATTTAAAAGGATTATTTCTAAAGAAACATCTGTTAGAAAACTCAAATTTAAAGTTAGATTAGAAAGAATATATGCTATGCCATAATGTGTCTTTATGGACTTTTTATGCAAATACGGCTAAAACAATACTTTCACATTTATTTTGTTTTTACACAGCAGCCTATCCTCATTCTGATTCATTTTGCCAGAACGGTTCACACATTTTAAGTCATATTTAAGTTAATTTAAATGAGCCTTTTTACAAAAAACAGCTGAACAACCATCCCCACAATGGTTCTGCTGCCTGTGTTATAGCGCACAATCACCTTCGTTATGATAAGTGGTCATAACTGGGATCTTCCTGTATACCAGATTAATTTTTGAGTTGATTGTCAATTAAACTGAATTAAATTAAAACAATTACCACAGTCTCAGTATGGAACCTCTCTAAAAGATGTGGTTATGTTGTGAGTGGACCCACAAGATTTTACTGAAGCTTGATTTGTTCAGTTAGCAAATAAGTCTCAACTGTTTGAAATGTTTCGAAGCAGCAAGACATTTCTATTCAACACAAACTCCAAACAGTATCTTTGCTCACCCAGTTTCTTAGGCACCCAGTCAAGGCCAAAAGTAAACTTTTTAATCTGGATAACCAGGTGGTCAGGGAAAGAGGCAAAGCGGGTTGTTCTGACAGATGACATACAAAAAAATACATTAATACATAGATTATAAAATTTAGTTGAGTGAATTGTTCACTTGATCTTCATCTTACTTGGTAGCAGTAGTCTTTGCTTGCACAGCTGAGCTCCAGAAGTCTGTGAGGATCTCTGGTTCGCTGAGAGCTGCCATACAAGCTGAGAAGGGGATTTGTGCACGCACTGTTGGTGCTGATGAGTCCCCCTCCTCACGGCGGCGCTCTGCTTCCTGAAGCTCTTCTGTAGGTTAGTTTTTAAAAAAAAGCATTAAAATGCTAAATAAAAAATGTGGAAAGTAAACTGGCTGACAACAGTTGACAAGAGGACTCATTTAAAGCTCTTTCACAAAACACCTCAGGCTGGGATTTACTGTAGACGCCTTCTGGATGCCTCGATGCGACTAATGAATGAACAGAGGCAGCGAGGGGGTCGAAGCCAATCCACCCCTGGTGAATCTTTGTGCTGTGAAACTACCGTAGAACAGTGGCAAAACAGTCGAAGTGGAAAAAGGTAAGTTAGTGCTGCTGCTCAATAATGCGATGAAGTGATGACGTGGCCTGTCTTAGCACCAACATAACTGGTTTGTTCCACTTTGGAGTAAGCTGTTTGGGGGAAGAATCAGTTTTGTGTTGTGTGTTTCCTTGACTGATGAAGCCTTCCAGATGGAAGGTGAAACGTTTCAGAAATAAAAAAAAACCTGTCCAGATGACCTGACTGAAAATGGTTGAATTGTATACCTGGATTATTGAGCATGGACTTTTTCTGGACGTGGCCTGTGTAGTCGCAGGATAAAACAATAAACTGATTTCTTACCAAGGGAAGATTAATGATGACGCACAGCAACTTTGTATTTAGTTTGAAAAAATTCATTAATCACAAAGAGGATCACTAAACTGAGTTAATTCATGGGTTTTGAAAACAATAGGAGGGAGATCACACATTTAATGCATTTTGCTCCACATCAACACAGCTGAGTTCTGATCAATGCCTCTTTTGGTTCTGTGATAATCGCTTCATTTCTGAAAGCTCACGTCTGTGCAGAACGTGGCCGGCTCCATCAGCGATTTCTACAACAGCCTGAGGCAGCATCAAGACAGACTTGTAAGTGTGGCCATATTAATTCAATTCAATTCAATTTATTTATATAGCGCCAAGTCACAACAGAAGTCATCTCAGGGCACTGAACAGAAACATTGATATTTAAAAATAATAAATTAACACTATTTATCTGAGGAGCAGACCGCTTTGAATTTAACTTCATCACAGACTCTCATCTTGAGCAAACATGAAGGCGACAGCGGAAAGGAAAAACTCCCTCATGAGGAAGAAACCTTTAGCAGAACCAGGCTCAGGAGAAGCGGCCATCTGCTTCAACCAGCTGGGTTTGGTAGGAACAGGAAACAATGGCAGGTCGAGAATCACATGTTCAGAGAGAAATGGTATCAAATTAAAACTATTCAATTTTAACAATTCATTTAAGTAAATGAGGTCAATTTGTCCTCCAGTAGTCTAGTCTTAAGGCAGCATAACAAGCAAACCTTAGAGATGCACGAGATGGTGTAGAGGCAGGGCAGCTGGCTTGGGACCCGAAAGTCCCAGGTTCGATCCCCGGTCACTGCATACCGCGTGGTGTCTCTGGGCAGCACACCTCATCCCCAAAATGCCCCCCGGGCGCTTTCAATAGCTGCCCACTGCACCACCTGGTGGTGGATGGGTTAAATGCAGAGACTAATTTTGCCATTGTATGGAAACATAGTGATGACATTGTGATGACATTAATTATAGGATTAATCAAAAAGGAAAGTCTTAAGCCCAGACTTAAAACTGGACAATGCGTCAGCCTTATGGACAGGATCTGGAAGTTGGTTCCACAAGAGAGGAGCCTGATAACTGAAAAATCTACCTCCCGTTCTGCGAACTGTTTTATGAAAGAGCCTGTAGTTTTCTTAAGTTCCTGGTGCATTTATTCCACTTGTTGACTTCATCATTTGACACCGTGTCCCTCACCTGTGTTAGTAGCCTGGTCCATGGGCACAGGGAGCTGTACAATGTAATCCACCCGCTGTGTGTACTTGGCCTTTTGTGACTGCTGGCAAACAATCTTCTCTTCCACCAGAAACCTGAACGCTTCTGATGGATTAGACCCAGAGCGACAGTTTCTCTGCAAAAGAAAAAAAAAAAAAAAGATGTTAATTTCAAGGGAAGAGGACTGATAAGGGACAAAAAAAAATGAGAAAGTAGTTTTGTTTTACCTCCACCATGTTTATGAAGTGCAATAAAAACTCCTGGGCATCCTGTTGTCGATTGGTGGAAAACTCTGGGTGGCCTCGTCCAACAAGTGCTTTAAACATTTGCGGCGCTATTCCAATTTGGTCACCCTGCAGGAACAGAATCAACAGCTAGGTGTTAGTTTGACTTTAGCTTCACTTATTTCTAAGAAATTATCCAAAAATGAGCAACTCGGACTTTAAAATCGACTGTGACGGTCTTGTTTCTTCTTACCCTGGGTTCAGATGCACCATTTTCATCTCCAGGGTCTGGTGCTGGTTTGGAGTAGTCTCCTGACAACAGCCCATAACCCAGTTTAGCTCTGTGAGAAACAAACAAAGCCGACTTCAATGAACAAACCTCATGAAGCAGACTCAGAGAGGAGAGGAGGATTTACAGAAGAGGCTTTGATGTAAATGTTGCTTTCAAATAGTGTAGCAAAATGTTTAATCATGAAGGAAAGACATTTTTTTAGTAAAAAATAAAAAAGTTTTTTTGTAGAGCACAGCAGAGACAGAAATTATTTAAATTATACATAATTCACATTTTATCCCCATACATTTTAGTTAATATGACAAAATACTTTTAAATTAATGCAAGAGAAGATGGATGAAAATTAATTACTGTGGTGGACTACTTTATTACGCTTCTTTATTTGACAATGTAATAGGCTACATAATATAAGACAAACCCAAATTATCTTTGATCATGTGCCTTTTTTTACCATTGAAGTGAGTTTTCCTTGGATTAGTTTTGCTTGAAAGTGCAAATCCACCTCCATAATATCCTGTTATTAATTTACTACATGCCCAGAGATGGAAAATAGCAAATTTAGCTAAAACCTGGTACAATGCATCTCTCCCTGTATGTTTACAAGGCTGATGTTTGTGTGCATTGTCACAGAGTAAATAAATGTCAAAATCAATTTAAATTTTTAACTTTTCACTTACATACTGGTAATTAAGCAGAATTGTATCTGAAATGTTTCTAACTGAAGGAATATTAAAACTTAACTAATACCTACACAGGAACAAAAAATAGCGAACACTAAATTGACACAAAAAGCTTTTTAAAACCGTCTTAACTCCCTGATGTCAAAGTGTTTTGAGTTAGAAAATGTATCTACACTGAAAGCCAAAAATCCCCTTATTTCATGTTTCTATACAAAAAAAGAGGTACAGGAACAAGAAAAATCGTCCAATTTCAAAGCATAATATCCAACACCGTCCTTTCTTTCCTGCTGCACAACTCTCAGGTGGTTTCAGGCACCTTATGGTAATCTAAGAGCTTGTTATACCTAATGAGGACACTCACACTTGAGTTTTGAAGTCCTGGGTTGGGTCACTTGGTGCCTCATCAATGATCTTGTCAAAATGTGACACGTATCTGCAGGACATGAATAAATGGGCGTGAAACATTTAATGCCTGGACATCATGAGTTAGTTTCTTTTTCTACTGCTTTATTCATCTTAAATGTAAATTTCAGTCTGCTGAAAGCAATAACAAATGAAAGAAAACGATTGACGGAGATTATAAAATAAAAAAAAAGAGAAAGCACTGACTTGCTCTGGAAATCTGGAACGGTGAAGAGCACTTGCATGACAGAATTGAGGTAGCAGCTGTTTCCCAGGTTCCTCATGCCAGTCAAACCAGGCCCAAACAAGGGCTTCAGGGTGGTACCAGACTCCTGGATTACCTCCCACTCCCCTACACGCTGGTTTACAGCGATCTCCAACTCTGTCATTGTCCGCTCAGTCTGAGAGGAGAAAATTCAAAGCTATAAAAGACTGGAGGATGTGGAATGAGTCTTGATATATAAAGGCAATAGAATGAGCAGCAGAACTGGGAGGACTGAAGGGTAATGACTGCAGGAAGATGAGCAAGAACCTATAAAATCACAGCGCCGAGTGCTGCCTGCAATCTGCCTTTTTCCTTCACCCTGTGTGGCACATCATTAAGTGCGTGCCAAAATATATTAGAAAGACAACACACCACATTAGAGAACAGTGAGAGGTACATTGATCTTAAAAATTGACATCTGTGTAATGCCAGCTCTGCATAGGAGGAAAAACAGATGGCTAAGAAATGAATAGCAGCAGGAAGTCACAAAACATACAGGTGTTCAGAAAAATTGAAAACATAGCCAGATCAAATGTAGTGCCTAGAAATGTTAATTGTGTTATAAAAGCTATTATTTTATTCCTCTATGTTGATGATTCTGTAACAATAAAGCTGGTATTTTAGATCTATTTAGTATTACATGTTTGAGCCATAATTGGTATAAAACTTCAGACATCAGGCACAAGAACTATAGTTTGATATTTTTTGGCTTGTTTAATCTTGAAAGTTCTAATTTTACAGCCAATAAGTTGTAAAAAATGGAAGTTATCAAAAATATTCTGTAGTCCAGTATAAAGAAGCAATTGCAGTGTTCCCTCAGTGCAGACTGAACTTGGCAAAAGGGCCTTCTCCTACTCCACTCCTGTTTCCTGGAATATCTTGCAAAAAGATCTGAAGCTCTCGACCTTGACCTCTCCAAGTGGCTTTAAACATCTAATAAGTTTAAAGGAAAAACCAATGCAGACATGTTCCTGTTCTTAGTTTTCTACATCACCTTACAACCTAGCTGTTTGTTGTTACTTTTTTTTTAAATACCATTTTATTTTCACTTGTTATTCTCAGTTTGTATGCATCGTTTATGATTGTCTGTTGTTGTCCACTGTTGTCATCACTCTTTGTTAAAATCAGGTCTCTTGTAAATGAGTCCCAGAGGCGCAATGGAATTAACCTGTATAAATAAAGGTTGGATGAAAATTGCATTTTATTTTACAACAACATCAAGGAGACAACTGGATACATTCTCATTTTGACTAAACTTAAAGGCAGCTCAAACTGACAAAAATTTGAGGCAGCTGTGGCTGAGTGATTAGAGTGGTCTTCCTCCAGTGGGAGAGTTGGACGTTCGATTCCACCAGCAGTCACATGTTGAAGTGTCCCTGGGCAAGATACTGAACCCCTCATTGCCTCTGTTGTGTGTCCCATCGGTGTATGAATGTGATCTAAAAGCACTGATTCGTCTCTATCATTTTTTTTTTTTCAGATTAGCTTAGTAGAGATGTAGTAGAGTGCTGTATGAAAGAGTGTGGATGGATAAATGAGGACAAAGATTGTGTTGTAAAGACCTTAGAGAAGGGCTATTCAACTGGCGGCCCGTGGGCCGGTGACTTCAATTCGGCCCACTTCATAAAATTAAAATAAAATTGGGGGCTTATGGGTTTGGATTCTGTTTATTGCATTTAAGATTCAATGCAATAAAATAAACAAATTTAAAAGGTAATATAGATCATTGTAAAACTTAGTTTATTTACATAATGACTTTAATCGCTGGATGTCCAGCCCCGAGCTGTTGGCTTTCAGAAACTGTGGCCCCCTGAGGTTTCGTTGAATAGCCCTGCCTAAGAGTATTTTGATTAGATAGAAAGGTGCTAAATATGTACAGTCCATTTACCATTTAAAATGTTTAAATTTTAGAGAAGTGTGATTAATACTTTGGGGGAAAAAATGAAAACTTCAAAAAAGACAAGTTTTTTTGGCTTCATATGCCCAAAAGTGGACAATAAAACTAAAATTATAGTTTTTTTCATGTAACATCCGACTCACCTTCTCCATAGTCATCATGTCGATGCCAAAATGAGCTAAGTGCTCTGGTAACTTGGAATCCAGCACCATGTCATCCTCATCATAGGAGTACACGTCTAAACATACAAAACAGGAAGGGAAGTTGAACGCAATGATGCACACAGTCAATAAAATTCCAATCGATTTATAAATATTAGGAAAAACCCAGAATACAAAAAAAAAAAAAAAATTATGTTTATTTTACTATGAAAATAAATCCTGATTTTGTCTTTTTGCTTACCAGCACCATCTGGAGTGATGGTACCAAGTTTGACAGCGAGTGGGTATCCCGTCTCCTGATAGTGGAGAAGTGCATGGTTGTTGCCTCCCGAGCCATCAAAATACCGGCGACCACAGAGCACTTTGCCATCCGTCAGGTTCATCCAAATATTTTCCTGAAGATCACACACTTCACACCGCCAGCCACTATAAAACAAAAACAAGAAACCACCTATACTGAATTGTGTTACTGGAGACAACAAAAATGATAAATCGATAGATTCTGAACGCCTGTGGATCACTGACTGGATGTTTTATTAAAAATAATCAAAACTACACAAGATCTAAAGTGTTTCAGCAAATATTCAAATTAATCGTCAAATTAACTGAGTTTAATCTAGAAGAATTGACATTTTAGAGCTTGAACATCACCTAGGAGGGATCTTGACTCCATTGTCAAGTTGTTTCAGGTCAGCGGCATGCTTCGACTCCTGTCTCACCTCTCCATCCCACTGCTGAACTTGTAAGGTGTGAGACACTGAGTCAGCTGCCATGATACCCGCCATTGACAGAGACACCTAGATGTAAAAAAACAAACAAACATAGAAACTACCAGTAGCTTAAAAGTAATTTGTTCAAGAATCAGTAGGGTTTATATTATATTGTGAAGGTGTCTAGTTATCATTTCTTATACACTAATATATGACCTAAAATAAATTACCCGCTCTCGCACAACATCAGGCATTGTTGCAAGGTCCTCTGAAGTCACTTCCTGTCTGTCTGGTAAAATTACGACCTTTACATCCTCTTCATATTGCTCCTGTTCAACATCAAAACCACCTTCTATCCCTGGACAGAAGGGAAACAGAAAAGGCAGCAGATTAGCTTTGGGTAAGCACTCAAGTTTTCTTTTTCTGACTTTTTCCACAAAGTTGTCACAGAACAGCTGAAACTTTTGTGCAAATGTGAGAATAAGGAAACTTGTCCAGAGTGCTTACCAAAAAGAAGTTATTATAACTTTGCAAGTTAACATCTACATGAGATAAATGCACAACAGAAACAAGTGATATGGTTTAAAAAGAGGATAGCTCTTCATGATCGTGACAGAGGGAGCATCTCAGCAGCAGGTTAGATTGAACTAAATATTGATTAAAAAATATTTAAAAAACGGACAAAAATTTATATAGATATATAT